AACCTGTGTAAAAGTCATCATCATCATCATCAAAAATAAATAAAAAATGGTTGCCATGAAAAACGAAATTATTAACAGCGGCTTTATGCAAAAATAATTCAACTGCAGAATGCCACGAGAGAGTAGCCTGACTACGTCAGACTTCGTACTTCCGCTCAATTTCAGTTCGCTTCAGTTTTCCTCCGGCCTGAAAACAGCCGGCCAATCAACGAACAGAGGGCGGTCTGAGAGCCGTGACGTAGACGCTAAGCGCCGAGTTTAAGATTGTATTTTTTAGGTTAGGGAAATCGAAAACGACCGCGGATATGGAGATACGGGATGCAATTCGCTCTGTTGTGGAGAATATTCCCGGCATTTGCAAACTGAAGCCCGAACAAGAAGAGTGTTTGTTAAACATTTTGAATGGAGGTGATGTTTAAGTTGGAGAGAGAGGTGATTGCGTTATGTGATTGGCTTACGGGTAACCAATGATTTTATACTTCAGACAAGCGCCAGCCCCCCCCCACCCCCCCCCACCCCCCCCCCCCCCCTCCCCCAATAGCAATTATCCAGACTCTGTGTAAGCAGCAAAGCGAAGTAGCAGAGTTTGGTATTACCAGGCTAACGAGAGAGCCATGTAATAAAGAAACAATTCTCAAGAATAACATTCTATTCTTCAAAAATACCAATTCTCACAAACTAACCCTAGATAATTGTTTCTTACAGCATTTTATGGGAAGACACTTCAACAAACATAATGTGCAACTTATTACTTATACGTCTAAACCTTTAGCGCAATGAAACAATATGCCATGTCGCCTAAGTTCAAAACAGAATTGTATTCGGTATTATACTGTATGTTACACATCGCCAGACAGTTTAAAAAAGCCTGGAGTAGTTGGCAGTCCAGTCCCAGAGGCACAGCGCCAACCCTCCTCAAGCCCTCAGGTTTGGCTGCGTTCACTAAATCTTAACAGTCTGTCTAATAAAGCGCACTCATGCTCCTTCCTCAAATCTAATGTACAGTTTGATTTGGCAAAGCGCAGACGTTTCTATTTCCACTTCACAAAAGAAAGCTTCTTGGATCTGCAGGAAGCCAGACTGGGGAGCTAATATTTAGAGACAATTATATTTGATTTCTGTGTTTATCGAGTATAATTTCTAAAGGATGGTAAACCTATTTAGTTTCGAACATGTGGAGCGGCGGTCAGGCAGAAGCCAGCCAGAGGTCTATGGCTGTGTTGTTGGAACAGACCCCACATGAGAATGAAGTTAATTCTTCTGAAGTACAGACAGCTCAAAAACACATAAAGCCCATGTGAAATGGTATGATATATTTAAAAAAACATGCATATGATAGGTTAGATATGCTGTTAATTAAATGTAATGGATTAAATATACAATTACATGTAGAAAAACCAACAAGCATTAGTTTGAAAGAGCCAATATAAGTAGGTAAAGGTAAAGAGTTAGCTTAAGGTGCATTAAATTCTGACAATCTGAAGTGTTCAAATGCAGATGAGCTACAGTTGAAAGAGAATCAATGCCATGACATTGGTACTCGCCTCTTACAACAATCAACTTGACGCATTGACTTTTAACATATAACACAACATTGTAGTCACTAGTCAGAATATATGAAGTCAATTTTTCTGTGGCTACATCAATGTCAACAAACAGTTAAACTCATGAAGTTAAGAGCTTTTCTTCTGAACCATTTTGTTATTAATTTTACATGAATTGCATCAACTGATGTCAATTTTATTTTTAGTGTTCACACAATAGGCAATGGAATTAACAATGGACATGCTCTAATAGCATTTAATATTTAGAAAGCATCACGCTACATTTTTGCCATCATTTTGAACAGTAATAAATAAATAATTAAATAAATGCCACTTGATATTTTCTTATAATGCATTGATATTATTAAGCGTGGCTTTAAATGTCTAATTATTTTTATTTTCCAAAATTGCCTCATATGCTATAAACTGACATCAAAACTCACATAGGCCTACACTCTGTAGCTATAAGTTACACATTCTTTGTGAATGTATTGAATTTGGATTATTTATACATCACAAGGCGATACATAGGCCTACACCAAAGAACCAGACTCTTAATAAAGTAAAAGTAAATGTAAACATTTTTTTTATCACATTATTAAAATAATTTATCACAAATAGCATACGACTACAGTGCAATTTAATTAACCCTTTTTTTTTATAAACCAAAGTGGCAGCAACTACTTTCTATCTTCCATTAAGCCCAACATCACTGACAGACAAAAACACGTAAAAGCGACGAATGCTGACGTCACACACTTGCTCGTAACTTAAGTAGGCAACGGTTATCAACGAAATTAGTTAGCTAATTAAATCAATGTGTAATTACGTTACTGAATGCGACTTATTAATTCACCAACACGCGTTTAAATCCACATCGCTACATCAGAGAGCAGAGTTCTCACCTTCAGTCGGGCGCCTTCGAGTTGCAGAAAGACAAAAGGAGCGCAAACCGAGCGAATGGATTGAAACAGCAGGAATCATGTACACGGTATAATCCCGAGTCATTGTTGGACTCGTGCACGCGCTGCTCGCTGCTCCTCCCTCTACATCAGTGTGTCCTTCAGAGACCTTCCACTCCACCTCACAAACACACACACACCGGTCACCACACAACAACATGATACATCACACGAGCCTGCTGCAGTACAGTGTATTCACAATTACAATATTCATATCACAACAGTTTCTATCTATCTATCTATCTATCTATCTATCTATCTATCTATCTATCTATCTATCTATCTATCTATCTATCTATCTATCTATCTATCTATCTACTTCTACTTATCTATCTATCTATCTATCTATCTATCTATCAGCAGAAAACACATTTGTGCATAAATAAAGAATTGTGTGAGGACATATACGAAATAAATAACATTTGTGCATAAAATTAATTATTCTGAGGAAATATGCACACACACACACACACTTGAAGGAAAAGCAAAACTGATAAAGGAAATGTTACAGTAAACTACTATGAATCTACTTAACTGTAGCTGACTAAATGTCATTAGTTTTGGTGAGAAGATGAAGAGCAGGAGAGACATCTGTTGGCCTGTCACGGGGAATATATAGTGTCAGGGACAGGAAAATATATTACATGTTTCATTCAGGGTGATTTATGAGATGTCTTAATGTTAACGGTCTCTGTGAAGTCAGTGACAATCCAGGACTGGAGCTTTTTCCAGGCTGAGGAACAAAAAAATGGAATTAAATAAATAAAATCACCTAGTATAAAATCATACATTTCACAATTAGTAATATAACAGGCGCTGAAGTATTTGCATCTTAATTTATGTAAAATGACGCAGACAGCACTAAGGAAGAAAAAGTCTTGCTCCAGAGATGGGCTGAAAAACTGATGATGTAGTTCGAATGAAGTGAATATCTGCTTTCATTCTGCATGGAGTAAGATCTCATGAAATCCATACTTTCTGTTATAAAATTATTATTCTAAAATGATAAAATAATCAGTTTCCGCTCTCAGTTGAGAAATAGTGTATTCCCAAAAAATGTGAAATTTTCCATTTGCACAAGCAATTAGACATGATTATATTTCCATATATTTCCATATCATTAGAGTGACTACATTAACCACTCCCAAGTAAAATGCATAGACCCCAAATTGTTTTGGAATATATATACAAAGTGGAAGTAAAAAGGTCTCATTTTCAGAAAGCACAGTACTGGATGCAATAGTTTCTCCATGTCCGAGCATCATGGAAGAGAAAAATACTGTAAATAATACCCTTAAAGATCGAATTTCAATTCTCAGATCCACAGAGCAGACATTTCATTCAACTCTATTTTAGGAGTATTTCCAGATGATGTAGAAATATCACAAGCAATATTGTTCCTAAGTGTCTAAAAGTTCAAGTGTTTCTAAATTCTGTGTAAAGACGCAGTGTCATATAAAAGCAATATACGATATGCCAGTTCTGAGGCAGCTTAAGTTAGATGCCACATCAGAGTTGTCTTTTTTTTTTTTTGGCCATTGCAATTTCAATCAGCAGCTTGAAAGAATCAACATTCAAACACAAAACAATGTCATGATTCTGTGTATTTATGCTGCACGCTGTAATATAATGCACAGATGCAGCTTCGGTGCTGCCATAACGGTTACAATCACGGTCAAAACGGTGCTCAATATGAATGAAATTGAAATTAGAAAACCTCCAAGAGATGTTTTAAACATTGTTATTATTGCCAAACATCCCAACAACAGCACAATTACATATAAATGCCAACATGAAACATCAACAACATAGTAAAAAGTTAGGCTGAACAAACTCTTCAGAGAAAACAAAGAACTGTAAAGAAACTGTAACAGTAACATCTATACATTAACTTAGTAAGAAAGTCATGCTCATGCCTGAAAGCTGAACGATGTTGATGTTTTGCTGCTGTATCGGAACACTGACAGACAGCTGTAGTGTAGTGTCAGTCTCACAATTCGTGTCTCAGTCTTTTGAAAATATTCTCTTACACAAAAATAGTACTATTCGAGAACAATCCCTTGAAGCTGCCTTCAATGAGAACAATCAATTTCATGTTTTCATTCAAGTCAATTGGCACTTTATAGCAGTCTCACCGCTTCACAAACTCCTAACACAAAACAACACATGTGATTGTGTTTTAAAATCCTGGCCACTTATACACTTGCATTATGCATCAGATTAAACTGACACATTTATATTTAAAAAGGAAAGAATTAGGTCATGGTCTTTATTAAGTACTTTTTAAAGAAATGTGACATTTCAGTAATATTTTCAGTAAAGAGCTCTAAAAAACAATTGTATTTTCCTTTCAAATGAACACAAAAATATCCATATCTCACTTAAAAGTCGTTAGTTTTAAATTTATATATGTTGGTAATCTTTAAAACAGAATAAATGTTAAGTTTCTCAAGAAACCTTCATCCTTTTTGGTTACAGCAAACCGTAACAATCCCAACACAAACAATACTTTATTGATCGATTGCTTCAGTTCTTCTCATTCTACATTCATTTGTGAAACGTAATCAGGTTTAACCAACTGCTGGTTTTCTTAAAAGATGCTACACTCAGGACATACTTTAATGTCTGTCATGAAGATCTTCGGGACGGTGGGCTGTCAAATGTTCCTGAAGCTCAGAAAGGTGTCGGTTCCACAGAAAGTGTCTTGCGATATCCTTTGTGAAGATGAACGCACCATGAGCAGTGCTGTGAGGTTATCGTGTGTGAGACATCAGCCCTGCAGGTCAAACGTCCTCAGACACTGGCTAGAGCAGCAGTACGCTACAAAACTCACTGTGGTTCTGTGGAAGAAAACAGAGAAAAACTATTAGCACTTATAACATTCTCCCCTGGTTTCACAGACAAATCTTAAACTAGTCCCAGACTAAAATGCATGTTTGAGCCGTTTTAACTGAACGCAACTTGCACTGACACTTCTTAAAATATGTCAGTACCATTGTTTTGAAAGACATTTTTTTTCAAAGGCATGTTTATAAAAGCAATTTAAATGCCCTACTTGAACTAAGGCCTAATCCTGGCTTAAACTGTGAAACCAGGCCAACATGTTTCAAAATTTTGAGTTTGTGCTTAAAGGGATACTCCACTTTTTTTGGAAATAGGCTCATTTTACAACTCCCCCAGAGTTAAACTGTTGAGTTTTACCGTTTTTGAATTTTTGAGTTTTAAATAGAAAAAATATCGAAACTCTTTGGTCATTTTTTTTTTTTAGAAATGCTAATGGTCTTGTCCACTCCAATGCTAAGCTATGCTAAAAGTGGTACCGCCAGAACCGGAGATCGGCTGAATGGATTCAAAAACGGTAAAACTCAACAGTTTAACTCTGGGGGAGTTGAAAAATGAGCCTATTTCCAAAAAAAGTGGAGTATCCCTTTAATGAAAACACTTGATATGTACAAAACTTTCAAAACTTCGAATAAAAGACAATGCAATAATTTGAGGTATATTATATGAAGTTTTGCATTAATCAGAATGTGTGTTTTTGTCAAGACGTGACCACACGCAATTTTTTGGATCTTTTTTGGCCAATAGCGATATCTTACACAGTCACTGGCCACTTTATTAGTTACACCTTGCTAATTGGTCCCCAGAATGGTCCCCCTTTTGCCTTCAGATCTACCTTAATTCTTCGTGGGATATAGATTCAACAAGGTTCTGGAAACATTTCTCAGAGATTTTGGTCCATATTGTCATGACAGCATCACGCAGTTGCTGCAGTTTTGTCGGCTGGACATCAATGATGGGAATCTCCCGTTCCAGCACATCCTAAAGGTGCTCTATTGGATTGAGATCAGGTGACTGTGGAGGTCATTTGAGTATAGTGAACTCGTTGTCATGTTCAAGAAACCAGTTTGAGATGGTTTGAGCGTGTGTGTTATCCTGCTGGAAGTAGACATCAGAAGATGATAGACTGTGGTCATAAAGGGATGGACTTAGGTAGGCTGTGGCATTTAAACGATGCTCAATTGGTACTAAGGGGCCCAAAGTGTGCCAAGAAAATATCTCACACACCATTACACCACCAACAGCCTGAATCATTGATTCTTCAAGGCAGGATGGATCCATGCTTTCATGTCGTTTATGACTAATTCTGACCCGACCATCTGAATGTCATAGCAGACTTTGAGACTCATCAAACCAGGCAATGTTTTTCTAATCTTCTATTGTTCAGTTTTGGTGAGCCTGTGTGAAGTGTAGACTCAGTTTCCTGTTCTCAGCAGACGGGAGTGTCACCGGTGTGTGTGTTCTTCTTCTGCTGTAGCTCGTCTGCTTTTGGTTTGACATGTTGTGTGTTCAGAGATGCTCTTCTGCAGACCTCGGATTGTAACGAGTGCTTATTTGAGTTACTGTTTCCTTTCTATCAGCTCGAACCAGTCAAGCCATTTTCCTCTGACTTCTGGCATCAACAAGGCATTTTTGCCCACAGAACTGCCGCTCACTGGATATTTTCTCTTTTCTGGACCATTCTCTAGAGATGTTTGTGCGTGAAAATCCCAGTAGATCAACAATTTCTGAAATACCCAAGACAAGCACATCCAGCACCAACAACCAATGTCAATCATGCCAAGTTCAAAGTCACCTAAATCAGCTTTCTTCCCCATTCTGATGCTCAGTTTGAACTTCAGCAGATCGTATTGGCCATGTCTACATGCATCGAGTTGCTGCCGTGTGATTGGCTGATTAGATATTTGCATTAACGAGCAGCTGAATATTATATAATTGAATATTGAATATTTATCAATATTTGAAAATGAATCAATGTGGGAAAAAAATAACTTGATAAGAAATAAATCTGTAAAATAGACGGATTAAAACTTTAGTTATCAACTTTTTGATTCTGTAATCAATCCTATTATAGTATTTTTTCCCAAATAAAGAAATAATTACAAACATGACTAAAAATCAAATAAAAGATAGTAACCAAGTAAGACTCTCACCTTACCAATAACCAATACAGTGTCAAAAACACAGGTCAAACGCAACATTTAGCAAATTTCTTGTATGGTTAGTTCAAGTGAAGCAATCTCACATGTAAAGAGATGATGTTTTAAATCATCCCTTTCATCCCTGAGCACTCAAAATATGCAGATATGCACACATAAGGGAGGTTATTTTACTCCCACAACATGCTTTCATAAGCATGTTGATGAAGTGATATTGAAACAGCGAGGGTTTCCAGCTATATTTTCACTAAATACACGCTAACCCGATGACCTGCGATTGAAAACGGAGAGTATGAAAGGTGAAAAAGAAGCAAATGGAAAAGAATTCCCTTAAACAAATAGCTTCCCTCTCTTTTTTTCGACCAGCGCTGGTCTGCAAACGACCGTCGAACACTCAGGGTAAGAGGTAATTGGCGAGTGGATTAGATCTCTTAATGCACGTGAAGTAGCTGAGAGCAGCAATCCAGCAGGCTGATTCAGTTACGCTACTGGATGTTGATACCAAAACCACAGCGTTGCATTACAGATGGAACATGACGGGTATCAGAGCAAGCACAGCTCAATTCAACCAATCAAACAAGCACAAAGATGAGGAGATAGGGGAAGTGAGAGGGGTCAGAGAGTGTGTGTGTGTGAGAGAGAGAGTTTTCTGAATGCAAGATATGAGATATATGAAAGAGAGTATGTTTTTGGTAAATGAATATGCACATAACAGCAAATGCACATGCATTCTGGTATTTAATATTGAGCATTTAATATTCAACAATAATATTGATCTGCCTGCACTGACACCATTATATGAGAACTGAACTGAGCTGGACGATGACATCACGGTTTTCTCCAGAGTGGCTATATATATAAATGAACTAAATTAATTACTTTTTTACAACAAAAATTAGCCATCACTGAACTTACTTAAGCTTGACTGTGACGCTATTTTCTTCTGGAAACAAACTTTGTTGCATAATTTATTTCCTGTTATCACTGTAAAGCTGCTTTGAAACAATCTGTATTGTAAAAAGCGCTATATAAATAAAGGTGACTTGACTATTACTCAATCCCAGAATGCATGTGCATTTGGGGGCATCCACTACCGTTCAAGTTTGGTAAGTTTTATGCTCACCAAGGCTGCATTTATATGATGAAAGCAAAATACAGAAAAATCGTAATATTGTGAAATATTATTACAATTTCAAAGAATTTGTTTCTATTTTAAGAGAACTGTTTCTGTTTTTATATATCCCTGTGAATTTTCAGCATAATTACTCCAGTCTTCAGTGTCACATGATCCTTCAGAAATCATTCAATCATTCAGAGAACATTGAAGTACAATGAGAGCGATTCAAAAGCATGCAGAACCGCCACTCTTTAATCGCTCTCGTGGTACTTTGATGTCGGTCTGCGCAGCGCCACTTCAAGTCGAACACACCTATCTATACATTTTTAGAACCAGTATAACTAAATGTGCTTAAAAAAAACATTGCCTGTGTTAGCTTTAATGTTAAAAGAATTTAATGTGAGTAGCAATATCATTTTGTGTGACCTTTATAGCATACTGAAAGTGACAATTGGATAATTCTAGCCTGGTTAAAACCAGACCATTCTCAGTTGTAACTGAGTTATGGTCTGGCAAAGCTTCATAGACAAATCATTTCCAGAGGGGCGTCACCAACGGACGTCGCGGGTAGACCTAAAACCAATCAGAGCGATGAAGGTGATGACGTATGCAGAGCGGCGGAGAATCTCCGAGTGTTGTTCTTTGCTCGGTTTTTAACAAAAAGGAAACGTTCAAATCGCTTAAAACAGACGCGATAGCTGATTCGAACGAGTGATGTTCGACGGCGGCATCCATCTTTGTAATGTAGGCTACAAAATCTGCTTCAAAATCCCAGCGCTGTCGTCATCGTGTAAAGCCCGCCCCAACGTTTCTGATTGGTGCCTCGATTTCGACGGATTGGAAATGGGCTTGAATGAGCTCTTTGCCAGACTAACTTTCAGAGCAAATCTAAATTTGCCGGAAGATGTCTGGGTTTTCCCAGGCTAGGATAATTCACCTCAGATCTTGAAAATAAATTAAAGGAAACAAGAACTCAATGTGAACAAACAAATGTATTCTATGACAAAGACTGTTTCAGTCATTCAGTGTGTATTTTTAATTATGTTAAAATAGTCTAATATCTATGAATTTGATTATGTAGTTAAAGGATTAGTTCACCTCAAAATAAAAATTTCCTGATAATTTACTCACCCCAATGCCATTCAAGATGTTCGTGTCTTTGGGGCGGTACTTTCGCCTACGTCCAGCGTGACCTTTCCAACGTGATTACGTAATGCCTGGCGCATCGCAGACCAGCACAAGACAAAGAATTGTGGTTAAAAAATACTGTATATAATTATTATTAATTTTTTTTTTTTAAATGACCGATCTTTTCTCTACATAAGACCCTCACCTGGGATCGTGCAGAGCCCTCTGAAGCACTTCAAAGCCCTTTGAAACTGCATTGATTTGGACTTCAACAATTTGGTTACCGTTGAAGTCCATTGTGTGGAGAAAAATCCCGAAATGTTTTCCACAAAAAAACTTAATTTCTTTTCCACTGAAGAAAGACATGAACTTCTTGGATGGCATTGGGGTGAGTAAATTATCAGGAAATTTTCATTTTGAGGTGAACTAATCCTTTTATTTCGTTGCGAGTGCAGTGCACTTGCAGAGAGAATCCACCCACACACTCATCCAATTGGCTGTCATTTTTAATTGCTTTTGTCGCGTCTCGTAGTCGTGTCTAGTGCGGACAGACAAACTGCTTGTCACTGGAATCTTATCTTATTGTATCGCGTCTGCCAGCTTAGGACACAGTGTAAAGTGGAAATCCAAAACACACACTTGTGATATGATGTTACCACAGCATCAGTACCTCTTGTGCACCCCTGCGAGCGCAGTCTCTCTGAGCGGGAACAGTTTGGTGTAGACGATGGTGAACATGGGCTGACTGCAGCGGTGACAGTGACCCAGAGGACACCGGACGACTTCCAGTAGACTCTTGGGCAACAGGAACTTCACATCTGCACATACGGATTTGCACAAACGGATTTGTAAAGATCGTATTTCACGTGATTTTTTTTGTCGTTCACACTTGCTAAATAGGATTGGATTCCAATCGGATATGCACAAAAATCAGATTTGGACTGACAGTCTGAACAAGACATGTTTTAGTGGTCAAAACATTTGGTTGGTAAATGTGAAGAAACCCAATGCAATTGTCGTAGGTTTGTTTGCGACTCTTACACTTACCGGTCCAGTTGTGGGCCGCATGTAGGACTCTGCATGCCAGCTCTTCCAGAGGCAACACGCTGTCAGTCTCGGAGCCGATGGCCTTCACTTCAGAGGGCAGAGGAACAGTCACATCTCCAAGAGTCAAGCAGAGCTGCTTCACGTCAGAGACCTGACCAGCTAGACCACATCTGTGCATGCATACAGATAAATAACCTGGTATGAACATCGACACATTAGGCCAGGTGTCCGTCTGAAACAGCCAGGGATCAATCACACCAAATATCATGAGAAGCAATATATAGCCATATCAGCACTGTGATACTTTTCCCGACTTAAAATGTCAGAACACTCTTGCATTTTCCCACCTAGACATTGTTACTGAAATGGTGCAGATTCTTGTGCCAGAGTCGGTGCTCAGCTGGAATATCTGAGAATCTCTCTTTGGAAAGTGTGCAACGAAAGCAGCAGAGCGTGTTAAAAGTGGACGAGCCAGATTCAAGTTTATAGTTTATAGAAGAACTTTTTGTGAGATTTACCAAAGTGAATCTTGAGTTTTGATGTCTGTGTGAGGCAAGTAAACTCTTACATGTGTGAAAAAAAATCAATGTTGTTTACTTTCAGATGGACGGAAAATCTGACCAAAGACTCTACACACATTTTCCACTAGTTTCTGCCGCACCGTTTGTCAAGTAGCTGACAGGGTCAGGAGTGCCACTATCTCAATAAGTTCCACTTTGTTGAATGCCCATCTATAATTATGTCAAAACATCTATTTCAGATTTAACTAGCCATAATGGCACATTAATACATAAAAAAGGCATAAGGTAACAGAAAAAGGATATTAAATCTTATTCTCTTGTGCTGAATCTAATTGTTGCTTTATGTCTTTATAATTCAGCTGGGAAAAATAACACATTAATTTCTGTCAATTTCAACAAACCTTAAAGTGGTGGGGGGGATAAACGTACCGCTATATAGTATTGACAGAGAGTGAAACATCACCAAATACACTGTATAAAAGGCACCGATCTGACATTTAGTATAATGGGTTTATGTAAAAGGTTCACTTAAATAAAAATGTGTTATTATATTTTTTATGTTTCTAAATATTGTTTCTATATACAAATTTCCTATAAATTGTAGTTCTGTCAAATCGATTAATTGCGATTAATCATATCTAAAATAAAAGTTTGTATATGTGTTTGTAAATATATATATATACACTCACCTAAAGGATTATTAGGAACACCTGTTCAATTTCTCATTAATGCAATTATCTAATCAACCAATCACATGGCAGTTTCTTCAATGCATTTAGGGGTGTGGTCCTGGTCAAGACAATCTCCTGAACTCCAAACTGAATGTCAGAATGTGAAAGAAAGGTGATTTAAGCAATTTTGAGCGTGGCATGGTTGTTGGTGCCAGACGGGCCGGTCTGAGTATTTTACAATCTGCTCAGTTACTGGGATTTTCACGCACAACCATTTCTAGGGTTTACAAAGAATGGTGTGAAAAGGGAAAAACATCCAGTATGCGGCAGTCCTGTGGGCGAAAATGCCTAGTTGATGCTAGAGGTCAGAGGAGAATGGGCCGACTGATTCAAGCTGATAGAAGAGCAACTTTGACTGAAATAACCAGTTGTTACAACCGAGGTATGCAGCAAAGCATTTGTGAAGCCACAACGCACAACCTTGAGGCCGATGGGCTACAACAGCAGAAGACTCCACCGGGTACCACTCATCTCCACTACAAATAGGAAAAAGAGGCTACAATTTGCAAGAGCTCACCAAAATTGGACAGTTGAAGACTGGAAAAATGTTGCCTGGTCTGATGAGTCTCGCTTTCTGTTGAGACATTCAGATGGTAGAATTTGGCGTAAACAGAATGAGAACATGGATCCATCATGCCTTGTTACCACTGTGCAGGCTGGTGGTGGTGGTGTAATGGTGTGGGGGATGTTTTCTTGGCACACTTTAGGCCCCTTAGTGCCAATTGGGCATCGTTTAAATGCCACGGCCTACCTGAGCATTGTTTCTAACCATGTCCATCCCTTTATGGCCACCATGTACCCATCCTCTGATGGCTACTTCCAGCAGGATAATGCACCATTTCACAAAGCTTGAATTATTTCAAATTGGTTTCTTGAACATGACAATGAGTTCACTGTACTAAAATGGCCCCCACAGTCACCAGATCTCAACCCAATAAAGCATCTTTGGGATGTGGTGGAACGGGAGCTTCGTGCCCTGGATGTGCATCCCACAAATCTCCATCAACTGCAAGATGCTATCCTATCAATATGGGCCAACATTTCTAAAGAATGCTTTCAGCACCTTGTTGAATCAATGCCACGTAGAATTAAGGCAGTTCTGAAGCCGAAAGGGGGTCAAACACAGTATTAGTATGGTGTTCCTAATAATCTTTTAGGTGAGTATATATATATATATATATATATATATATATATATACACACACATACACCCACATTATATATTTACAAACTTTTATGTTAGATGCAGTTAATTGTGATTAATCGATTCGACAGCACTAATATATTGTAATTATTATGATCACAACTTGCAATAATTGCTTTAATGAGCTTGTTTCTGCCTAATAGAATACATGATGTTATCTAACTGCATGATTTGTATTATCTTAGAACTGTACATCCTGAAATATAGAACCACCTGCTCTCTGTGACACAGTCACCTTTAATAACAGATTACTCTAGATTGTAATGTAGAAACATGCGTTTACTTTAAAGCTGCTTTGAAACAATATGTATTGTGAAAAGCGCTATACAAATAAATGTGAACTGAATTCAATTTTGAATGTTAGGTGTGATTAATCACAATAAATTACAAAAATCGGTGCAATTAATTAGTCATTTTTTTTAATCGATCGACAGCCCTACTTTATAGGAATGTTTAAAACATAAAAGTTGTGATTTTGATAGCATACTACAACGACAGAAAAGAGCTCACCCACTGCAGCCGATGACTTTGTTATAAAGATACGAAGGGAGAGCCTTCAGATGAGTGTTGTTGTCCACAAAGACAAACTGCAGCTCCATGGAACGCCCCATATCTGACAGAAATATAAAACATCAGTATCGGCAACAACATCAGAAAATCCACCTGGTACTCGTGAAATATAGTCCTCTGGAGTCATAAAAGAGCTGTGAAACAGAAAACCTTCCCCTTAACTGTTGCTCTCAAAAATGCTACAAATGTTATTAAAATGATTGGTTGAGTCCTGTTCAAAACCATTCAACAAACATAAACCTGTGACCTTATTAGACCAGATATAATGTTATACAGTATTATTATTATAGCCATTTTATAAATTGAAGCTGTGGTTTACAGTGAATTTCTATTAGATGTTCTAAATTCACTGTAAACCACGGCTTTATGAGTCTTATTGCTTTAATAACCTTTGGTCTGCTCCTCGCATAAAGCATCATATGGCTTCAGAGAACTTGTATGGAGTATTTGGACTGAATTTAGACTAACTAGACTATGGAAACTCTCGTTCAAAAGTTTTTGGGGTAGGATTTTCCAAATGTTTTTGAAAGACGTTATGCTCAACAACACTGCATTTATTTGATCATAAATACAGGCAAAACAGAAATATTATAACAATTTAAAAACACTTTTTTATTCGAATATAAAATGTACTTTATTTCAGAAATTTCAGCAGGCATTACTTCAGTCACATGATCCTTCAGAAATCATTGTAATATGCTGATTTGCTACTGAAGACAATACTTATTCTTAATTTTTTATAAATAAATTTTTTATATCTTAATTTTATTATTTATTTATAAAAGAATAGCATTTTATTCGAAACAGAAATCTTTTGTAACATGTTTTACTGTCACTTTGGATTCATTTGCATTCTTTCTAAATAAAGGTATTAATTACTTTTAAAAAAAAACTGACCCCAAACTTTTGAACGGTAGTGAAACTTGAATACACTGCTTCTTTGGGTCTGGGTAGATGACAAATAAGGGTGAAACAGCATTTTTTTTAAACAAAGTTCTAAATTGCTTGAGATTGTATGAATTTGTAAAGTTCAAATACTGTTGTTTTTGAAACTGTTAGAGGTTAGCAGATTTTTTTTCTCATTATGTAATTTATTAAGCTTTTCTCACAGCTCCAGGCAAAATATGTCCTGCGGTGTGACATGACATTACTATAAAATTCAAATATTGAAATATTATTAATTTCAAATACAAATCAGGTATGTTTTAAGTTTAAAAAGTATTCTTAAAGAATAATTATTAAAATTCTTTTTTTTCCTTTTTTTCACAGCTGTTTTTCGATTATATTCTTAGCTTGTGCCATCTTTTACCACTCACTCCAGTGGAAATATTGTGTAAAATTAGAAAAAATATTTGAAAAAGTTTTTTTTTATATATTTATATAGGTATATTATGCAATGTTTTCAAATGCATATAATTATTTAAGCTAGTTAACATAGTAAAAGTCGTTTAATTGTGTTTGAAGTGATGTCACACCACAGGACATCCCGTCACACCACAGGACAAAATGAGACACTGTATGAACATTTATGGTGAAATTTATTGAATACTTTTGTAACAAACAAATTCATTTGCATCTCTATTTGAACATTAATGAAAATGCAACATATAAGTACAATCTTATACATAGTGAACAAGACATACTGAATAATTAACATTTTGGAGTCGTCAAATCAGACCCAGTCATAAAGCCCATTCATTTCTATTTTTAACTTAAAAGACTAAACAAATATCTTGTTTCTCAAGAGAAAGTCATTAAAATCATGCTAAAATAATTAAAAGCATGTTAAAATCATCAATTCAGCTCTTTGAACAAAGATTCCAGTGAACAAGAGAAATATGACATTCTGGAGTCGTCACTAATAAAAGTTCAGACCATAAACACGACAAGCTGTTAGAGCCCATCTATCCATCTTCTTCCGCTTATCCGGGGCGGGTCGCGGGGGCAGCAGTCTAAGCAGAGATGCCCAGACTTCCCTCTCCCTAGACACTTCCTCCAGCTCTTCCGGGGGGACACCGGGGCGTTCCCAGGCCAGCCGGGAGACATAGTCCCTCCAGCTATGGAGGGACCCTCCGGTTCTCCTCCTGGTGGGACGCGCCCGGAACACCTCCCCGGGAAGGCGTCCAGGAGGCATCCAGAACAGATGCCCGAGCCACCTCAGCCCTCTCGATGTGGAGGAGAAGCGACTCTACTCTGAGCTCCTCCTGAGTGACCGAGCTCCTCACCCTATCTCTAAGTGATCGCCCAGCCACCCTGCGGAGAAAGCTCATTTCGGCCGCCTGTATCCGGGATCTTGTCCTTTCGGTCATGACCCACAGCTCATGACCATAGGTGAGAGTAGGAACGAAGATTGACCGGTAAATCGAGAGCTTCACCTTGCAGCTCAGCTCCTTCTTCACCACGACAGACCGGTACATCGACTGCATTACTGCAGAAGCTGAACCGATCCATCTGTCAATCTCTCGTTCCATCCTTCCCTCACTCGTGAACAAAACCCCAAGATACTTGAACTCCTCCACTTGAGGAAGGATCTCTCCACCAACCTGAAGTGAGCAAGCCACCCTTTTCCGACTGAGGACCATGGCCTCGGATTTGGAGGCGCTGATACTCATCCCAGCCGCTTCACACTCGGCTCCAAACCGTCCCAGTTTTGCCCTCTTTCTTTGCTCATGCCTAAAAACGGACAAAAATCACTTTAAAAACAATGATCAATGGCTGTTAACATACACATACAACAAACAAATGAAGACAGATATATATTTATGTTTAATATATGTATAATATATGTATATTATGTATAATGAAGACAGATATATATATTTAATATATGTATAATATAGGTACATTATATATAATATTTACAATATTTGTTTAATATATAGAGAGACAGATATATATTTATATTTATGTTTAATATTGCAAACATAACAGACGAGAATCTAGCTAGACATCTGACTTAATTATGTCACACTACAGGACGGGCTGTCACACCACAGGACTTTTCACCTTTGCAGCCATTTTGAGTCATTGCTATACAAGACTGACCTTGGGCATTACAGTAACTGAATAAGTTCATTGTTTTAAACCTGAATATGATTCTTTTCTAAAAAATATTTTCCTTTTTTCTCGAACTAGATCAGTCACGCCACAGGACTATCAAAAATAGACACGTTCATGCTCTGACAGAAATGATGAAATTGATCAAATTAATAAGAGATTAACACTCACCTTTTAACCTCCTTAGCACATCCAAACATCTGGGGGACTTCCTGGTAGGGGGCTTGACTAAAGAACCCCTATGGCTGTCCATGTAACTGCCAGTACAAAAATCTAATATCCTACGTCACACTGCAGGACATCGTTTGCGTTTCAAAACTAAATGTACTGTAAATATTATTTTTGTACTTTTTAGCATTTTGAAAACTTAAGTTAATTAAGTAAATACATATAAAATAATGCCAAGGCATTTATTAGCTGCTCCAAACATATTTGCTTTATTTTACTAATATTTACATTTGATGAGTTATCAATGTTACAGTCACACCGCAGGACATTTTGCTATTCACCTTGAAATATGAACAACCCCAAATACATTGTACGTCCCAAAATCATAATATTGAATTAAAATGATGTTCTATGCCCCACTGATATGTGTTGTTTTAGTTGAGAAATGCAGTTCAGTAAACATTTACACTTAATTACAGAAAAAACATGCGTCACGTCATCTGCCTGTCTGCCAAATGCACAAATGTAAATGTATTGTAAATGTTCTCTCGATCCGCTCACCCAGGGGCAGTGATGTCAGGCAGTTGGCAGCCATGGAGAGCTCATTGAGGTCGGGCAGCAGACAGAGCTGGCGAGGAAGACACTGCAGCATGTTTCGGTCTGCTGTCAAACACTGCAGGGACAGGCACTGGTGCAGACGCTCTGGAAGAGTCCTCAGGTGGTTCATGGACACGTCCAGAGTCTCCAGCTCTCGGAGATCTCCCAGCTCTACCAATATAAGTCAATATACATTTATGTTCTAATTGGCATGAAACAGAAGTTGCGGTTGTCTTTTCTTCCCTATTATGACTTACATCGGAGTGAAATGGCTTCTCGAACAAACAAACAAACAAAAATGTAGGACATGACTTGATTTTGTCTATGGCGATTTGATTGGATTGTTGTGGTTTGCTATTGGTCGATCTCATGTGAGTGACAGATAGCCCCACCCTCACGTCAGTAAACACATCATCAGGGAAGAGATGTAGTTGCAAGAGGGAGGGGAAGTTATTTTGATTAAAGATTACAAGGGCACATGAATTAAAAAAATAATGATGTGCATGCACAGATAAATTATTCATTATAAATACTTCAATATTCCATAAAAAAATCTGAATTGTCTATTTTTGTCCATGCTGAGTATAAAGTTTCAAGTAAGAATCAGGTAATAACAGGATTTTATAACTAGGGCTGTCAAAATTAACGCATTAACGCATGCGATTATTTTTTTCAGTTTAACCGGAAAAAAAATATTTAACGCAATTTCCGCAGTATCCATTTTTTTCCCTGTTATCCTTTAGTTATCGTTACATTATATGATAATGCTCTTATTCATATATCCATGCTCAAAAAGTGAATAAGTGGATTATAATTTAGTACCATTAAAATCCCCTAAAAATAAAAAACTATGAAATAAAAAAAACATTATCGAACTAAAATAAAGTACAATCATTTCATTGAAATAAAACAAATGTCATTTTTGACCAACACGTCAAGCGTTAATCAATCAAAGTACAAATGAAACCGAGAAAAATAACTCACTGCTCTTGACTGAATAACTTTTGTAGCTTTAATAAAAATTAAACTACATTTCATTTTTAATTTATGCAGTGAAGACTTTGAAGAATTTGATAACTTAATTAAATTTCTGTATATTTCCTATCTGTTAGATCAAATATTTAAAATATACTGTCTTTATGTTGTTTCTACAATAATTTTGAGATTAAATGTGAATTTTTTACAACATAAAAATATAATAAAAACTTTAATGTTAGGTGCGATTAAGCATGATTAATTACAGAAAAAGTAATCGATTAACAGCACTAATTATAACTATAGGGAGTGTCTTTATGGCTTCTTCTGGAAAAAAATACAAGATGATACATTATGTAATATTGAAAAGGAACTATAATTGTGTAAATTCAAAAATCACACTTCTTTCAAACATGTGTGCAATGCATGTCACTAGATCAAATATGCTAGAAACTGTTGTAAAAATTCACTGTAAAACACTTAGTTTGGAACAATTCACATATGATAAATTAAAGCCATGAACAGTCTCGGCTTCAGATGAAACATTACCCAATTAAAATGGAAAAGAACAATAAAAAGACTGATATAAAACAACTGCGTGTTTTGAAGCAGAGCAATTAAAGAGAGTGTCAAAGAGCTTAGTCATTTTCCCACAGTCTCTTTATGAAGTTTTACTCCTCAGAACCATTTAAGTGTCATGCTGAGCGCAAAAATCTCTTCATTAAATGAAGTTTAATAACTGCAACATGTACTGAAGTTTAAAAGCTTCTGGTGATGCAGTGTCCTCATACTTAGCTGGTGAGCGAAGAAACGATTGGATGCAGTTAAAGCTGATCAATTACACAAGAAAAAATATCTTGTGTTACAAATAATGTCCATGACAGAATAAAGGGGCTGTTTACCTAGAGACATTTTTAACTACAAAGTTGCAGAAAGAGGAATGAAAACTTTCCTCTTTCGCATTCTTCTCGAATCACTTAAAACAAAGACTTCATTCAACCTTTGGAATATTTTGGTTAAATGCAAAATGCATGTATTTCTATGTAATCCGAAATATTATTTTAATGCTGGGTAGCACAGGTAAAGCATAAATATAATATACAGCAATTAATGTTTTTGTTATAAAATGATTATTATTCTATTATTAGATCTTTCTATGCATGGAGGAATTGATAATCACAATAATCAGTTTCAGCAGCTCAATCATTCTCAGTGTTTTTGATAAATGCTGATAAATCTGCACGACTCACCTTGCGGGAGGAATTTCAGTTGATTGTTGGCCAATCGCAGATGTCGTAATGAGCGCAGTTGACCAATCTCTGGGCAGATGATTTGAAGAGCGTTGTCACTCAGGTCCAGTGACTGCAGCTTCACAAGGTTGCCAATTGCTGGAACAACAACAACAACAACATACCATGCAATGCATATTGTATCTGACATCAAAATACTGATGTATATAATTATAAAATTAAATTACCTTGAGGAATTATAGCAATATTGTTTGAGTGCAGGTATCTTTAAGAGAAGAGAGAAGAAAAGAAAAAAAGTTGTGGGATTACATTTCATAATCTCGTTTTTCATCAGATGCAGTAAAAATGTAACTAAAATAATTTAATTCAACCAAACTCTTTGCCCATCCAGTCATCTAGTTACCGGTATTTATGTATGGGTGATAAAACACCACAATGACTCAGGGACATCTACTGGGCAACAGTAATATTACAGTTGTACAAAACTTACTGTCCATTGTTATAATAACAGCATAAACCAAAGTCACAAGAGTATAACAAAGATAAATACTCACAATTCAATCAGGTTGGGAAGCTTCTGAGCCAGATTCTCTGGCTGACAGGAGGAAAACAGTATTAGGATAATATAGGCAAATATATCATTACAATATTTCAATACAGGGCTGAAGACTAACAGCACTGGGACTGAGATCTTACAAGGGATGTGAGTGAGTTTCTCTTCATGAAGAGACGCTCCAGGAACTGCATCCCTTCATCTCTGAGGAGCTCGACAGGGAAGTTGTTGAGGTTTCTGTAGTTCAGGAAAAGATTCTTGTGTCGCTCTTGTTTGGCCATAAATATTGCTGCATGGAGTTCAGCGGCCATGGCTGTGAGAACCGTCTTTGGTTGAGAGAGTTTTTCCCTCTTTCAACTTCTACTTTTAAAAAATAAAAGATACAAAAAATAAGCAAGTAAATCAGTCATGTTGATAGTCATATTCACCCCAAAATCAAATGACAGATGAATAGAATAAAATAATAGTAGTAGTAGTAGCAGTAATATTGGATCTCTCACTATTCTTCATATTGATTTTAATGGACCAAAGGCAATGTACATAATTTGCAATAGAAAATGCTAGTAGTAAAACCCTGACAGACACTATAAAGTTAGGCTACTTATGAACTGATGTTTACTAGTACAGTAACGTTAGCTATAAAAGCATTATGTAATGTAAAATACCAAATGACGTTACACTAACAGTATGAACCAATACGAGCTCAGATATTGATGCTATACTGTACTGTACTGTTAGTCTGTCTAAGTGATAATACACGAGAGTAAATATAAACGTAAGTCTCTGCAGAAATCTAACGTTAATCATAATAATTGCGGGCCAGCTCGTTGAATGAATGAAAAAATAAAATTTACATATGAAATACACAGCACAGCAATAATTATCATTGATGAATTGCAACTTACATTACATCCCTGTAGTAATGAAATGGTCCCTGTTTAAAACCTCTGGAGTTGTTTTTGTGCCGCACTGGTCTTCCGTCTGAGAGAAAGCGCGTCACTGGATACAGAGAGCATCATGGGTAATGTAGTTTTCCTTACATCAAAGCCGCTAGAGTATATATTATAATGTAATATATTTACTATACAAATATTTTACTATAAAAGTTATTTAACTTAAGAGAAATGTGAATGACATTTTATGAATGTCAACGCTGATATTTTTGAATGTTTTTGATGCTTTTTTGAGTCAACTACTACACAAAATAGCTGATCACTGACATGTTATTATTAAAAGCTACTGCTACCAATGTCGATTAACTTATTTATAATAATGCTTTATTTAATTATTCACATGACATCACTGACACAAAATACCTTCCTGACATGCAATTTGTAGCCAATGCAAATGAAAATATTATTTAATTAAAATATTTATTAATATGCTCTCTGTCTGCATACTGACAAAATTGAGTTTACAGTTCTTTCGTAATCATTCAATCCTACTTAAAATGCAAGAACAGACATCACAAAGCTATTCAACTGGATTTATTATAAGTATTTTTGAGCAATGTGCCACCATAAATACAATATGTTAATCTTCTCCATCTACACTCCTGGGACACATTTAATTTGTCTTCAAATGTATACAAAAGAAAACAACACAAATAAAGTTAATAAGTGCCTTTTTTAATCAGAACAGCCAGGTTTGAACAGACTTGGACCACAAAAACTTTTTCCATTCTCCCCTCCCCCGTTCTGGATCTGTAACCCCTTTATATAACCAACACACACATATCTAACACATCTCAACAGTTCACTGAACAACCAAACAGTTTTGCTCCACCAGCATCAGGGAGTGAAATACACAACACATCCCTTCTCCAGGTTGTAGATGGCGCCATCAGACCACGAACACCTCCGATGCTCTCCTCTCAAATGTCTGGACTTCAGTGAGATGATGGAGAGCAGCAGTTTTCAGCAGCAGGGTAGAGCGAGCGTCGAGGAACAGGTCACTTCCTGTCCCGTGGACGCCCGCTTGAACCTTCAGCCCTGAGAAGATCTAGCCCATAGTCAACAGATCTGTACTGACAAATCAATCATTGGTCTGAGATGGTCAGAGGAGAGCATTAGGATGGTGATCTTGGACAATCGTTGATTTAAAAAAATCGGAATTATGAAAAATGCAGAAAAAAAATGACCATATTTACGAAGGCTGTGGAGGAGGGCGTGATGTTGGTATTGCTATTTGATTGTTGTTGGATTTGTAATTATTTTTGCCAAATTGGACAAAAAAAATCTGACGAATTTCGCCAATTTAAACATTTCCCTTTTTATAAAAATGCTTTAGTGAAAATTTACAAGAATATCTTAAATCTGGATTTATAAAATGCATATTTAATCAGCCCATGAGTCATTTTTGTTAAACTGCTATGAAATACGACATGGGGGGAAAAAGCTATTGGCTCATAAACCAGTCATTTCAGCTAACAAACGTCTCCAACCATTTACATTTATATTGCATCTGCTCAATTATTATTCTTTTTTTTTTATTATGCTTTGTGTTGATCTTTTTTTAGTTTGGGCTGAGAAAAAATATGTTTTCCAAAGCCAGCACAAAACTTATATACATTTGATGCACCTGACAAACAGCAAAAACTTACAGAGGGAACATACATAAATCCACTTTTAGTTTCAACGAACATTTGGTTTCTGATACAAGTACAGTATTCCAAAGAATGTATAATGAAAACTTAAAAATAATAACAGTGGGATTCAGAGACATGAAAGGGAGAGGAGATCAGAACCATTATATCCTCAAAAATAAATCCATTCGAATTCTTCCATCTATTGACTTTTGCCCTCAAGTTAAAAAAGATGGATAAGTTAAACATAGACAACATTCCAGCACATTTGGAGTCAACTGTCAGACCTGTTCTTGTTTTAATAAATAATAAACAAATTTAAGCGAGATCCGATAGGAAAGAAAGCAGCTAGTCATACAAAATGTCCGTAATTCGGGGATTTCTCCACTCCGAGATTGTGGTTTGTAGCGTTTATGAGGTTTTACCCAGATACAGAGAGCAGTAATATTGTCCTTTTCATGAAAAAGGTCAGATGTACTTTATATACAGGTACATAAAAAAAGAGTGAGGTAGATAAATGTCTGAAAAAAAAAAAAAGTCCCAATGTCATGAAAAAAAGCATATAAAAATATCTAAAATGTTGCACTTAATCAGGGGGGGGGGGGGGTTACAGTGATTATTAAACATATCACAAAAACAAGAGAGAAGGAAAAAAAAAAAGAAAAAAAATAAATAATGAAAATAAAAAGGTCAGGATGGGGGGGAAACATAAAAGGTGACAGTTTTTCCTTCCAAAAAAAATGAAAACGAAAGTCCCAAAAACTGGCGCTCGTAGTCAAACCTGTATCTTAAATGTGAACTATGTTACAAACACAACTTCTGCATAGAGATATGCTGAATCATATCTGTATAATCGTTGTTTATCAGGCTCTGCTCGGAAGAAAGGAAACGCAGAGTTTATAACATTTACAAAGGGCGGCAGGATCAGTCACAAATAAGGCTGAACAATCAATCCAAAGTATGAGACGAGTCTATCTTCAAGGCAAGCGATGAAACGAATTCAAACTTTGCCACATTTTTAGTCATATCTTGTCGGTTACAGAGGAATGAATGATGAGAGAACAAAACATTGGATTCTGAGACCGAAACATTGAGGAGTTTGACCTGAGAGTATTTGTTGCGCATTAATGTGATGAGAGACACAGTGTTCACTCGCGTCGAACGAGGTGCCACCATTAATGGCATGAAGAAAGAAGTGTGTTCTATTGCCGGTTTCGCTATCAAAAAAAGAAGGCATTAAACAACTTTACACTGGAAAACTCAACTGTTAGATTGAACCTTCTATTGTTTTGTTTTTTTCGTCTCGTTTCGCAGAACTATAAGCATCATAAATTGGACTGTAGTGGAAAGGCAAAGGATTACACCTGAAGAATCTCTTTACAATTTTACAACCACAAAAAGAAAAAAACAAGAATAAAATAGCAGCTTTTTTCAGCACAGACATATAAATGATCAATCTGAACTGTAAAAAAGGTACAAAAGTGACCGACAAACGACGCACACGCTCTGTGGTCCGAAGTACGACTGAACGACCAAACGAGAGAATTCTTGTGAAGATTTCAAATAACACAATTTTAAATATTTTGAGCTTCTTTTTGACCCAATTCCCTTCTTTTTTTTTTTCTTTGCCATGTAATATCTGCTGCATTTGTTCTTCCATTTTTATTTCATCCGAAATGCAAAAAACCCAAAGCGAGAAGATAGAGAAGTGGGAATCAGGGAAATGTCACTCTATTGATTGTGTTTTAAACTAAAAGATGCTTTGGATCACCAGTGTAAAAAAAAAAGAAAAAGAATGCGGACATTTTTGCATATGTTGGGGGCTTGTACAACAGTATACAATTTGGCTACATAAAAAAAAAAGAGATTTGGCAGATTCGTGAATTTCTCCACTATGTTGCACAGCCAGATGATTCGGAGAGAGTGGAAGCCGAAGATCTCCGTATCTAGATTGGAGTTGGGTCTTACTTCTAAGATGGGCGGAAGAGGAACTCTCACACCTTTCTCTAATCTAGACGCACGTCTTTGGAAACAAAGACGAGAGCAAGCGCTTCGATGTAGGATTCGCTTGGAGATATGCAGAGCGTTTCGCAATAATGCCACCGTACCACTACTGGCTCTGATAGACCTTCCAAACCAGGTTTGGAAGTTTAGAAAAGTAACAAAACGTAACAAAAACAGTCGGCCTATCGAGTGCGAGAGTGAAGGTCATGGTTTTTTCAGTCAGTGATCCAGTCTGCGGAAATAACAAATGAGTTCATGTCAATCAATTCAACGATTCAATCGAAATACACAAAAAACAAAGAAAATTCAAACTTTGTCCGTTGAGGTATGATTGAAAGAAATTGATTGCCTGGACTCTCAGTTTATTTTTTTTTTCTTTCCTTGTCTCTTTATTTTAATATTTCTTCTCAGGAGACCACACAGTGGCTTGACAGACAGAGACACGTCCGTGTTTTCGGAAACGGGGTCGGGCCGCTGATCAGCAAGCCGACGACTGGGGCAGAGGCAAGGCACGCTCGTTCTTACGCCCCCCGTTCATGTGAGCGTAAGGCTGGGACTCGTCAAACGGGCTCCGGAGAACCATGGAGGGCCCGTTTGCCGCCGATGCGGGGAGCGGGTGCTTGTCCGGGGAGCTGGGGGAGGAAGGCGGTGACGACGGGCCGGCCGGAGTGGCGGAGCACTGGGGCGCAGGGGAGCACTGTTGAGGGGAGGCCAAAGAGGGGGCGAGGGGCTGCAGGCTGGAGGACGGCTCCAGAGGAACGTTCTCCATGGTTCCCACGTTCTCCATGTCCAGCTCTTCCGTGTCGGGAGGTTTGTTCTCCTCGCTGTAGAAGAAGCTCGTCTCCTTGAAGCCCTCCTCCAGGTCGTCCTTGAGGCTGCTGATGATCTCCAGGAAGGACGGACGCATTTTGGGGTTGAACTGCCAGCACATGCGCATCAGCTCAAACCTGGAAGATCAAACAAAGAGAAGCTAAGCGACATGATCTTCAAGAAAACATCAGAAATGACCGGCTGATATTTGGCCATGTTGAGACTATCAGCATCAGATGACATTCAGTCTGATAAACAGAAGAGTTGAAGTCAGCACAAAATAATATGATTTTTTTTTTCATTTTTAGGAATTTATATATGGCTTTTAGGGAATGTTGTGTTAAAATGCTATTGTTAATTTGTATTGAAAATATTTCCTTATACTTTGTGTTGTTTAAAAAAGTCAATTTCCAATTTAAAATATATATACTGTATATTATATATAGAGATGGCCATTAAAAAAATCATTGTAAATATTAAATGTACTGTGTATATATATATATATATAAAACATTATATATTATATACAATATAATACTATAATGTTTTTAAAATAAGTATCTTATGCTCACCAAAGCTGCATTTATTTGATTACAACGACAGTAATATTTCTATTATTTGAATATTTATTTTATTTGAAAACAGTAATATTGTGAAATAATGTTTTCTATTAGAATATATTTAAAAATGTAAATACAATTAGCATCATTACTCCAGTCTTCAGTGTCACATGATCCTTCAGAAATCACAAAACGTTAATTATTATTATTATCAATGTTGAAAACATTATTGAAAAGTTATGTAAAAAAACAAAAAAAACTGGATTCTATATACAAATAAAGTATTAATTATTAATTTGTATTAATTTTAAAATTATAATAACATTTATATATATACAACACACACCAAAGGCTACATTAGCCGAAAAGTTTCCGACAATGCTAAATTGCATGGATAAAATGCAAACCATGTATATTTACATACATTCATAGTATTACTGAACATTGTACTATTTTATGATTGTTATAAAATCACTCAAAACATCTTGTTTATACCGTCCACGCCTACTTTGCGCAACTCTGAACAACAGGTGGCAGTGTGACGAATCAGTAACATAAACATGCATGCTATCAGCGGTTACGTCCTAAACACAGCTGCAGTGAGCTCATGGTGAATGCTGTGACCTCTTTACTACACAGCAAACACAGAACTGTGATGAAATCACACGGCAAAGCTGGAGAGAGCTGTAAAGGAGGCCCGAGAGCGCCAGCGAAGGGTTACGGAGAGAAAAAAAAACTAAATAAGACTACGATCTCGCTGACACTTGAGCATTCCAGTTCACCATTTTAATTATACACAAACAGACTAAGAATACCAGAGGAGTCTGCTGAAAAAAAAAAAAAAAAATTGTCGGATCCCTGTGCCAGCTCACACACTAGTGGAGTAACACACACCATTAGTCTTACAAACACCAGCGCCGGCTACACACCCACACACAGCTAGCGCAAACATCAGCTGACAGTTACAAATACCCGTGCACCACATACACAAACATTCACACCAGCATATCCAAGTGCGGTATTTTCACCGTTACACACACACACACACACACACACACACAGGCTTTTGGCTCTCCAGCTGTGAGACAGGGATTGGACTCACTGCCCTCAGTCTCCAGCTTGTTTTTCCTGCATAGCACTAAATGAAGTTTCCATTGATGGGGAAGTTCAGTCGGATTTTAGCACCGCCAGTGTTAAAATTGCTATAGGAACTAGACTAAAGCCTGCAGTAACCTTAGAAAGTCTGAATGTTTTAGGGCCAACAACAAAATATGGATTTTTTGATATGATGAAAATTCTAATTCAAAATGCAAGTGAGAAGATATATTAATGCATTCATGTTGGTTTCACACCTTTTGGAAATAAATACAATACATTCAAATTTACACTATCTATCTATCTATCTATCTATCTATCTATCTATCTATCTATCTATCTATCTATCTATCTATCTATCTATCTATCTATCTATCTATCTATCTATCTATCTATCTATCCATCCATCCATCCATCCATCCATCCATCCATCCATCCATCCATCCATGTATGTGTGTATTTATTAAATTACATGTTGTTAAAAGGCTAAATTGAGTAACCATAAAGCAAAAAGTAGTTTACTTTCAAAACAATTTCAATGTAAATATTATTCATTTTTGAATCATGAATATCATTTAGTTTTCTTAAGGTTATGCAATTTGACCTGACTAACTTCATCTTTTTAATATTATTTATTTATTTTTCATGGCTGACCTTGCTATTACAGCGGTCTTAATATATAATTTATTATATAATAAATAATTATAAATTATATATAAATAATTATAAATTATATATATAAATAAATAATAATAAATTATATACAAATATATAATTATATAAAATATATTATATACCGTAACGATTCATACTATTTAAAATATCCAGAGAGCTGCACCAAATCTTTTACTTTTCTCAGATCATACAAAAATATCAAAATGAATTCAACTCATTCAATTCAACAAAACGTGAAAAAAATAACAGTAAGAATAATTGTAAAGATTTAAGGTAACGGTTTTGCATTAGCATTAATATAAGGAAATATCGCTGCGCTGATACATTTTATGAAAGCACTGAAATGCATAATTCAGTCTGATTTTGTTACATAGAATTCCAAGTGATCCTGCTATAGCTTCTTAATAAACAAAATAGCTGGCCATGTTGTGAGTAAGATGTCAATTACATTTTCAAGGCAGAAGTCAACATTTTACTTCTGTGAGAAACGGGATATTAGCAACTAGAAATAACTAGAAAGAATGTAAGGAAAGACTTGATTTCATACATCAGAAATAGATTGGAAAAGTGCATGTACCAAAAAGGAAACAGGCGGAAGGTAGAGAGGGTTTGAAAAATGAGGTCTTGATGATGTAAGCCGAAAAAGAAAATCATTTCGGAGGCGGAGCAAGATCTTTTGATAACACTTTACTTAAAGGCTGTACTGTATATATAATGCATTAGAAAAATATTTTTAATGCATTCATTATTACTGCACCTTATAATGCATTGTATAGTCTGATGAATAATTGTAACCACCGTAATAATACATTATTAAGCTCATCAATTCACTGAACACACCTTTAGAAAGTAAAATGCATTAAAACATATAACCAATTTCAGATGTAACAAGGAATATGCAAATATTAAAATGCATTTTAACTTTGGCTACTAGCCATTAGCCACATATTAAAAAAAAATATATATAAAATGAATTATAACGTATACCATAAATACTTTTATAATGCATTATAAAGAAGGGCTTTAATGGTTACAAAGTATTACAGAATCTAAATTTTAGTACAGTCCAAATGTTTTCCTAGTTATGAGGCAGTGGCTTTTGCTTTTTTGTGGCAATTTTATTAATAATATCACATCAGCTGCATGAGCACCATCGCTCAAAGCCTTTGTTCCAATCGCTACACTGCACATAATTTCCACTTTTAATCTAATAGCTGGACTTCCTTTGAGGTTTCATTTGGCTGACCATTGCCACTATTAGAAGCATGTACCAGCCTGAAAGCCTCCCACATGCCCTCCTCCTCCACTCCTGTTCTGGCAGCTTTAAAGACCACTTCATCCTTCCCGGCACTTCTCTGAAAAAGTGTTAAAAGGTGCCAAGCGTCGGCCAACCACAACAAAGACCCTAAACCAGACCGCCTTGAGATGAAAATGAGGCACAGGCCAACGCAAACTATTGTGCACTTCCCGTCAATGGACAGTGAAAATGCAGTTTCTCCTGAAACAAAACATCATTGTTCATTTGTTTCACCAATACGCATGGCTTGTGAAGTTTCCTTTTTATTTTATTTCTTTAAAAAAAAAAATCTAAAAGGGCCTTTAAATCTAAAATCTAAAATAATAATATTTGCATATTATTTTCATAAATATTATATATATTTTTTATATTATTATATATTTTTTCATATTAATTATATATATAAAAGCTGAAGAATATTACATTAAATATGATTTAGATATTTTTCAGTCTTTTTAAAATGGATAAATATTTAGAAATGCATATATAGATATAACATTTACATTTAAATATATAATACAAGGCTGAAAAATATATTTTATAGATATTTTATTTTAGCTATATCACCCTAATTTAACAGATTCATTTGGTAATTTATCAAATTAAAAACACAAGCTGTGGCTGACAAAAAAATTTTGGTGTTAAATGGCCAACAAACAATGGAAAGCTAGTTTTGGATATCAGAGACAGCTTACGTTCCAGCTGTCTCTGATATCCAAAACTAGCTTTCCATTGTTTGTACCACTTTCTTCCCGAAACACTCATCTATCTACCAACTTTCCTGATATAATGTTCTATTATTAAAAATGTGGCATCCTTGTATTGCTCCGAGTGCTCGTATTTCACTGCCAGCTCTCACACTTTAGATAAAACACGGACTTAAAGCCAGACGCAACCTCACTCAAACCACGCCAAAGAAAGCCCAGAGCTTGGAGGCTCTCATAGATAAACAAATTATACTTAAATTTAGCGCACAGCACCCACGGGAAGAGCATTAGACTTGGTAGTTTTAAAATCCAAAACAAATAATAGCCGAAGTCAAAAACTGTTTGTTAAATACCAGCTAATCTAGATTTTGATGTCAATTCTTGTTTTCAGCTTTGTGACATTACCACCGGAATCATACAGTAGGTGGCAGACTTTCTGCTTTTTAAAAGGATTGTTCACCCAAAAATGAAAATTCATCATCATCATCTATTTACCATCATGTCCTTCCAAACCTATATGAAAATTCATATTAAACAATTTCAAAAGTGCCACATCAAGATTTTGCACCAGGTTTGACATCAATGAAACCTAACTAGGATAGAAAGAAAAAGTGATATTGAACTTTGGTCTGTTTCTCACATAAAACTATAAGATAGATTAAAAAGACTTAGAATATAGTGCAAGAGTTATATGGATCACTTCCATGTTTTTGTCCTTTTGGGAGCTTGAGATCCTCTGATAACTCTGCTTAAAAAACAGCATCAAGCTTTTTAAAATATTGTGTTCCATTGAAGTCAAATAAACGCATAAAGTGAGTGAAAGATGATGAATTGAATGAAGTAACTTACAGCATATCAGGACAGTTGTCTGGTTTGTCTAGTAGTCCTCCCTCCATGACAAACCGCAGTACCTGCTCATTGGACATGCCCTGATAGGGCTGCTCGGCCAGGGTGGCTATCTCCCACAACACAACCCCAAAGGACCTGCAAGAAGACAACAGACGAGAACAGTTAGAACAGATCTACATTGAGTTAGTTCACCCAACGGTGTTGGCTTGACGTGCGAGAACCAATAAGGTTTGTTCTCATGTGTTACGCAGCACGTTTGAGTTTCTGTTTATGTTCGCTTATCAATGTTTATATGTGAATAAAAGCCTAAATTCAATCTGTTCATCAAATAAAGGGATTGAGTATCTTCAGAAAATTTGGACTAAACCACTCAATTCATTCGTTTTACGATCTCTTTACGACATTTTTGAAGCGTCAAAATGGTAGTTGTGTAGCTGCCAATAGAGGGACAGAAAGCTCTCAGATTTCATCAAAAAGATCTTCATTTGTGTTCGAAGATTAATGAAAGTCTTACCGGTTTGGAACGACATGAGAGTGAGTAAATAATGACAGAATTTTATGGGTGAACTATCCCTTTAAATTAACGGTCAATTAATCAATTAATCTTTAAAGGCACAATATGTAGGGTTTTTTCGCCACAAGAGGGCGCAGTTTCCAACAGTAACAAAGGCGTAGGTTTATGACTCAGTGATGAGCTGAATGATGGGACTTGCTGTCAAGCTGATGGATCTAATAATGTTTATGGATGAGTGCAAACATTCATGTTTTTTTAACATTACAGTGGTATGAAGCAGGTCGCGATTGCTAATGAGACAGATATCACACGCGAGTCCCGCGGATATAAAGGAATAAGGACATTTAATTCTACCGAACTACCCGCAAGTGCTGGATTACTCACACAGGTCAGTTTATTAGACGAATTAAAATTGTGAGGTAACGCAGCGCTGCTTCACTTGGTCTAACGTTACACTGTCACACTAAACGGCATTTAAATGTGTGTTGAAAGTTATAATGTTATACTACGTGTTAGTTCGTTTGCTATACGAAACTAGCAGTAAGCTAGATCAACATTAGAATAATTATTATTATTTTTTATTATACTTTATTGTCCCATTCCTGGGAAATTTGTCTTGGACAGCATGACACGGCCAGTGCACAACATCAATCACACACAACACAATACATACAATAACATACTGACCATATTCTAACATTTCATCATGTTGAGCTAACGTTATATAACATTGATTTGTTTTATGTACATTTGCTCACCTGTCTAATAAAGCTGTCAAGTCGTGACTCGTGAAGCTCTGTCAAGTCCAAGTTAGTTGCGGACGTGGAGCTCTCGGCATCTCAAAAACGCCACGCTGATATTGATCCTCATTTTAGTTCTCCTTGTTTGAAAGAAACAAGAACTGCGTGCCGCTAAACGTTACACACTACGCAGTTGTCCACGTCTGTCGCCATGGTTACGTCATGGCTATGGCAGTATGAACGGAAACCGAGGATAGCGCGGATATTGCGTCATCGACAGGCGACATTTTTTTCCGGGACGGACACTTTTTTAAAATTGGAATTTCTCTGAAATAAAAAATCTTTGGAGACTTTTGGGATATTGTAAGTACACAACTGCAGTATATATATTACACTGTGCAAGTGATTTTTGGATATTTTATTACAAAATTCTTACATATTGTACCTTTAACATCTTATATCCGAAGCGGTGAATATAGGGAATATGACCATCTCTTAACAAGTGCTTTTAAATTTGCTGACATATTAAAAGTGATCAATTTCCATATCGTGAAAAAATAAATGCTTTAAATTTGATCTGTAAAATCATTGTACATTAACAGATAGACGTATCATATATTGTCGACTAGTAGAATAAAACAAGCATATTTGTTTCACAGAGACCAAACTACACCAAGTATTTGAAGTGGTATGAAAAATTGAAGCACATTTAAACCGTATACAACATATGATGATTTTGCGTCACATTTTTGTTTGTAACTTAGCAAAACAATTGTGAACCATAGTAGATCACATATCTTCATTTGGAGCAGGTGATGCCGAATTCACCGTGCGCTACAGAATAGAAGCGCTGGAAGACCATCACACATAAAACCAAGATCTTTACTTGTTTATTCTATGTACTTTTATTGTGGGGTTTACATATGTTCAGTACAATCACTTGTTTGGAGGGTCTTTTGGTTAATTATGTTTCAAAATAAACGGCTAGCCTTCTTAATGCATTGCATGGCTTGACATATATTTAGAATACGTAACTACCTCGTGCTCACTTCATTTTCACTCATTTGTCTGCTGCATGTGTTTTGTGAGACACACACACACCTCAAAACTACACACTCTAATTATGACCATGGATGCGTTTGATCGATTAATTTATTATCGACAATTAATCGATCATCGATTAATCGTTAGCGTACCTAATAGCGAACCGTGTTCGTTCAAGTTACTGATTTTCTGTTTAATATCGGGGTAAGTTCAGTTGAAAGCTGCTTGCTCTTAAAAAAAGTGTTTTTTTCAAGAAATATCAATATTTTTAGCTGAGAATGTGAGAGATGTGTGTTCTACTTACCTAAAACTTTCAAATGGGAGCAAGTTGTCATTATAATGAGTCAGCCGCTCTGACAAATGATATAATATAATGTGGTCTGTTGATAATAAAGCTATTAAGCACATAACAAAAATACCTTCAGTCGTGCTTCACTCGAGTAATCTTTCTTTTGGTTCTTCTTATTATTTTTCTATAAGTGTTCTACATCTAAATTAGATACAAAAGTGCTTCGAAGCTTGCAACAAATAAATACAGGCTCTGTTCCAAAAACCGAATGAGCTGCTTTGTGGTTTACAACTGCATCGATATTGGAAATGCTTTACATTAGGCAGCAACTCATAAAACACAACTATTGTATGAAATAATACATTTTAATTGCACTGAACTATTTGCATCAATACTTCACAGTACTGAATTAAATGTTCCTTTGTAATCCACATTTCTCTCGCGCCGTTCACCATATTGGATTGTTGCCTTTTACACAAAGCACAGATGTGACTACACACTACATTTCTCACCAGGCTTGACTTAACACTGACTGCAATATAGCTGACGTTAACATGTTGCGAAACACATTTAAATATTGAGTGAGATATATATATTTTTATTTCACAGTTAATTAACTAGTGTCTCGGGCTGAAGCAGGGAAACACCCTGGATGGATGGAAATTAAATTAAATGGGAAAAAAAGGATACAAACTTGGATATTGTGCTAAATAAAAAATAAAAATACAATTAGATTTGTATTGTGCTCATTGTAATGCATATGCAATGTAAGGAAACGTGATGCTGCATACCAATTTGGCTAAAGCAGAGTATATTACAAGATTTAGAACAGAGCCTGAATACTAAAACTTTTATTCCAACCTAGTTAGCAGAGGAAACTATAAGTAATTATTCATTATTTTAAAATGAGTCATTATTCATTATTTTGCACTTCCGTTTGGTGGCGTAAAAATGAGCCCTTTTCACATTTTTCTGTTTTTTTTTTTAAAGTGGAAGTAGTTATAATTGGAGAAACTTCTTTAGCGGTGAATGGGAGACAACAACTGATGAAATGTATTTGCATTTGTTCTAAAAGTAAAAAAAAAAAAAAAAAATCAGCAATGGCATCTCCACGACTTTCCAAAAGAGTGAAAAAAATATAGCAAGATTGATTCCAGTCAGAAGAAAGAATGTCAAATTTGCCGTCACTCCCTCAGCCGTAGTATTAGAAAGAAACACCACTTTACAATAAGGTTTCATTAGTTAAAATCAGCCCGTTCTCATCCTTTGGCGTCATACATGTGACGCTTTGTACATTTCGTTGAAATCTTACGCACATGGCATCCTTTAGCATCAATATGAGACGCAGAACCCAAGGCGTCATACACGTGACGCGCGTGTAAATCCAACGCACATGGCATCGTTTAGCGTGAATATGAGACGCAGATCCCAAGGCGTCATAACCGTAACCCGACCCCAGACCTAAACCTACCCATAACAGTGCGTGTTATATTGACGCTAAAGGATGCCATGTGCGTAAGATTTCGACGAAATGTCATATGGCGTCACCTATATGACGCCAAAGGATGAGAATGCGTTGTTAAAATAAGTTAATGCATTAACTAAAATGAACTAACAATGAATAAAACATTAGTTACAGTCTTTTTTAATCGTTGTTAATGTTAGTTAATAAAAATACAGTCGTTCATCGTTTGTTCATTTTAGTTCAGTGCATTAACTAATGTAAACCAAACCAATAAAACCTTTATTATTTTATTAATGTATTAGTAAATGTTGAAATTAACATTAATTTAGATGAATTAGTGCTGTAGAATTAGTTCATTCTTAATTCATGTTAACTAAAGTAGTGAACTATTATTGTAAAGTGTTACCAAAAACTTGACTAGATTTGCAATGTTGATAAGTGAGGAAGCGCGTCATCAGAGTCCGTGAAAATCGTCCATTGCACAGTGATGCAGATACAGCCATTATATTCAAATTCTGATCTTAACCACTGTCACAGATTTTTTTTTCAAATGGTAAATCTGTGATTACTGGCGAAACACTACTCCACTCCCATGTCTGATCCTTGTGTAAAGTTTACCAGACAGACAATCGTTATTATCAAGGCCTGGCGGTGACCCTGGACAGACATGAAAGGTGAACTGTTAGGGCAGACTCTCTCCAAACACCTGGAAGGAAACTTGAGAACATTGTAATTAAGTTCAAACCTCTTCCTGAACAGGGAGTGCTTGATTCTGATCCTTAACAAAAGATTTAAGTGTGAACCTCCCAGCGAGTCCAAAGAGCTACTTATCGTGACATGGGAGGACGAATCGACTAAAGATTCCTTGAGGCTCTGGAATGCCACACATATCAGCCGCAGCTGTTGCAGTTTCCGGAAAAGCGCGGTCTAGACTCCCCGAGGTTTTCTTTGAAAGTTTGTCAAATGAGACTAGCATATGAGGGAAATGTTTCTAGCTCATATGAGGGCTGATGAGGCTTGATTGCCAGCTTCATTTGAAATATATGGAAAGATGTTTCTCCTCATTGCCTACCGCATTAACGTGTGCACTATGTAATGGAAAATGTGTGTTGAGCTGCGCGAGTGTGGTTTTCGTTTCTCGTTTAGCTAGCGGAGGAACTGTAATGGACACAGATGTCGCTCCACAGCTACGGTGACTAGACCGACGCACCCTGCTATATTGTGCACTATACGTCTCAGTTGATTTCTCGATGTGTTTTTAACATCATATAAACATGCACACACTGATTCTCTGTAGAACACATGAAAGCTTACCAGACATCAGACATTGTGGTAAATACTCCATCTTTGAGGGACTCGGGGGACATCCAGCGCACAGGCAGTAGTCCCTTGCCTCCTTTTCTGTAGTAATCCGTCTCATAAATGTCCCGCGTCATGCCAAAGTCTACAGATTGAGGATAAATGAAGTGAAATTACTAAGGTTCTATAGTTTTCCTTGAGATTTAGCACGGTGATTTAGCCAGATTTAGCAATTCAGGGAACTAAAAGCTAAAATAAATATTTGTCATGCAACAAATGAATATATAGGAAATAAAATTTAAAGTATGAAAGATGGATAAATCTGTTGAAATGTTTGCCATTATTTTTTTAATTTAGAGCTACAGTACATGAGAGTTAAGTAATTAAAATCATAAAGTAGCTATGTAATGGAAGTAGCAACAGATCCTATTGCAGGTATTGCAACAGATTATCAAAAATAATAAAAATGTTGGGCAGGGACTTAATTCAATAGGTTGTTGATTGGATAGAGACAGATCTGAATACAAGTTTGCAGTCGACTGAAAGAAAGGGGCGGAGTTTAAGCAGATGAAATTTAACCCGAAGAGTTTTTCATTTTTTAATAAAAAATTATAAGGTGAAATTTTTATATTGGACGAATCATTTACAGTCAGATCAATAACACGTATTTATAAAATACATTTCCATTCCATGCCAACTTTAAAATAACGAACACAATAAAACATTAAACATCTATTATTAAATATCTGTATTATTTAGTATTTAATTTTGTTATGAAACAATGAGCAATAGTGCAAAATGTCAAAAGGTGTTAAATCTGAGGTGTAATTTTTTTATGCAATATTTTTTAATTTAATAACTGTGAAATGATCAATATTTATTGTGAAATGCCACTAGCTTTAAAACCCTCTCAGAGAAGCTGCGTCTCAAAATTAATTTTGCTACTAAAACATAATAAAGCTAAATGAAAAAAAAAATCCCTATTTTTAGGGACTACCTTAAATAGTCATTAATATTGCACAGAGTTGAGAAAAGCAAATACATTTTTTCTCATTTCATCACATACCACCAATTTTGACTGCAAAATCTTCAGCCACCATGCAATTCCTTGCTGCCAAGTCTCTGTGAACAAACTTGTTAGCGTTGAGGTACGCCATGCCATCCGCTATCTCTCCTGCCATCTGAATCATCTTCTTCAATGGTGGCAAAGGCAAATTGGAGGTGTTCTGAGGAAGGACGAGGAAGAGGAGAATGACACTGAAGCTATGTTCCAAAACCCAGTGAGTCTCATGCATTTCATGCTGAAACTTTGGATCATGCAATTTAGTCTCAGCCTCAGACTGTTGGCTGAACATCTGATGCATAAGCAACACAAAATAGGAAACACTTCAAAGTTGTCATCTGATTTGTGTGTCACATTCTTTAACGTTATGCCTGGAAACAAAGATGCGGTGAAGCCAAACCCCCTCGTGGAAGAAGAATCCAGTCGTGTTTACAACTGTGACAATGAGCACTTTTCAGGATAAACTAAACGCTGGATTTTCAAAAATATGTGACGTTTGCAGTGAACTTGCCCAATGTTCTTGAAAGAGCTATCATAGGAACATTGACATTACAGTTTCACGGCCATGAGCATGACGCAGAACAAAACAAACTGTGATTGGTAGTTTTATATGTCGGTCAGATGTCCTCTTGGGCGATCCTTGGCCGATGAATCTGTGTATGCAGAATTGCTGCCTGAGAAAAACATTTCAAATCTGTCACTCTCGAGGTTGCATTTTTCATTAAAGGGATACTTCAGGATTTAGCATTAAGCTTTGTATTAGTAGAAAACCTGTAGTATTTTCGAATTACCGTGCTTTCCACCCTCATATCCCCCTGAGACGAGAGATTTATGTATTTTTTGTCAGGAAAAAATCCTCCGATGACGCAAAAATCGTCATTTTGCGTCATCAGAGGATTTTTTGGCCAGAGGCTAAAGACTACAGTCAGTAGTACGGGCTGTTCCACATGTTTTCAACCCGCCCATAGAGGCTGGGATCTCACTCACAGAATGTACACACAGTGTCGGCCATCTTTTTTTGGAAGCTAAGCTAGCAGGCTCTTGTTCTGTGGAGAAAGCTGAGTAGTAGGGGTTACCATCCTCTTTTTCCTGGACATGTCCGGCCGTCGATGTCCGGGATTCAGCTTTTGCTTTCTGCAGTCGCCATTCATTGTTTACATGCACACCTTTTGTTTCAATCTAACTGAATTCATTCCGATTGGTGAATCTGAATGTAGTGTTTACATGAATGCTAAACAAGTGATCGGTTGATGTGCGTTTTAATATTGCTAAGAAAATTCCCGCTCCTCCGTGAGAGATACAAGACCGGTGCGTCTCACAGGTGTCACTCATCCGTTGTCCCGCGGCCCTAGCCTCGTCCTGCTCGCCACAGTAAACATAATGAATGGCGACTGTAGAACGCAAAAGCCGAATCCCGGACATTTTGGGCGATCTCGGAACACATTTTCGGGCAGACTCATCACGGAGACTCACTAGTAGCCTAGACTTGTTGATTAACTAACTACTGCGCTCTGTTACCGGTAGGCGTGGCCTCCTAGGGCAGCGAAGCAAGTGCATTCTGGGAGTTGTTGTCTTTCATCCACATAAGCCAATAAAACATTTTCTGGCTTTTCTCAGTCTAGAAAGCTCCAAATTCAAATATAATTTCACATTTCATCTACATAAATGACCCATTTTAAATACACATTCATCTTTCCAGAGGTGAAGTATCCCTTTAAGGATGCAGCCTTAGAAGGTAAGCTAAGCTCACTAGGTTTGGGAACAGAGATCAAGAAAATGAATTGGAGGGGCTTATAGACTAGAGGCTGCATACCAGGAGCGCACCGCAGTGAGCAGTCCATTTAGAGAAAGACATTTGTGAATGGAAGATTAATTCTGATTAATGGAAATCGCTCAATTACGCATCATAATTCCACCACAATTCCATATGGCAGTCTTTAACTTGCTGGAATTCAGAACGGTTCGGAAAAAATCAGTCTGATTGGCCAAATATTTGATCAACGATGTGAAGATGTCTCGTGTGTGCCTGTATTCACCTCAGCGGATCGAAGCGAGCGTAGGTAACTCTTCAGATCTCCTCGTGTCATCAGCTCCATGATCACCAAGGTGGGCTGACCCTGCGAGACCACACCCAGTAGACGCACCTAAACCAATCACAAAAGACATCACAGGGTCCCAAGTCAACATTATTGAACAGTTTTAAGGCTACTATACACCAATGCTGTGAGTATTAGATGAGATTTGTCACGAGTTCTTTGACTAACCACATGGTGACAATTGAACTCCTTCATCACTGAGGCTTCATTAAGGAACTCAATGCGTTCATGCAAGCTAGCCGATTCGTTGACGGTTTTGATGGCCACCCTGATTTCTGGCTCATCTTTGACAACACCTTTCGCGATGCCCTCGTACACCATACCAAAAGATCCTTGTCCAAGCTCTCGGCACATGGTGATTTTCTCTCGCTCCACTTCCCATTCATCCGGCACATACACTGCAAGCGTAAATTACAATAGAAGTTAGTCACAATTATACTGCATATTTACAAAAATTATTTGATCCTGCCCTTGATTGAATACTCACTCTCTGCTGCGCTGAAATATTCTGGGTTAACGGATGCGTAAAGGACTCCATTTCCAAGCCTGTCATTGTTTCTGTGGATTCCAGAAAGCACTTATTTAGCAAAAATAGCACTCAGCATGTAATAGAGAACAAGTGGGAAACATTTCTATATAATCACTTTTTTTATAAATATATTACAGAATCTGGACTTCTCAGATAGGTACATTTCATCCAGAGGGGCCTATGTTGTTAAAATCAATTATGAGAATTTGTAGAGTGTAGATGCGTTAAAACTGATACCGTTTCTTGTTCACCAAGATGAAAGCCACTGCAGCGAAGGCGGCGAAAATCAGGATGATCGGGATAATCATGAAGTACAGGAAGTGTTCATAATGTGTTTCTTGAGTGTGCAAGAAAAAAAAAAGAGAGTCAGAACTCAATAACGTGTCAACATTTTTTTTTTTTAATTCTCATACTTTTGCAATTGAAAGTGATGAAAATCATGGTTAACCTACGTTCAACCTGAATCACATAGAAAGCTATGGGTTGAGTCCACGACCCGTTTCCGGCGAGAGACGTAGCACGCACACGGGCAGAATAGTTCCCAGGTCCCAAATTGGAGAGTTTTACCCCTTTGTGCTCCCTGTAGTGTTGACGGGATACACACTCATGCTTCTCAGGCTGTAAGGAGGAAAAAAGAAAAAGAAAAGAAAAAAAAAGATCAACACATAAATCAATAGTTGATAAATTAGTTAACAATTTTTGCAAAAATGCAGGGGGGGAAAACCCTAGCTGGGTCAGTGCTAAGGTGCTATTTTTTGTATGCAGGTTTATTCATTTATTTAAGTAAACTTATTATAAATATATTGTTAAATATATTATTCTAAATAAAAATATTATTCAGTAACTATAATAATTCAACTCCATGGGTCTCATTCATGAAACATTCGTAAATATACGAGTAAATATGCGAGTGATTTGCGCGTAAAGAGACCTTCCCGAAAACTCTTCTCCTGATTCACAAATACTTCATAAAAGTCAGATGTGATAGTGAAATGTGTGTGTGTGTTAATGAATTCCAATCAGTCGTAAATGGGATGCGCGTGCACGTTCATTCTCAATTACCATAAATCCCGCCCATTAAATCCGACTGACAACTATATATGGGCATCATATTATGACATGAATGCGAATGAAAAAAAAAAATTCTCAGATGCAGAAATTGAAGTTTTATTATCAGAAGTTCATTTAAAACGCCACATTTTATTTTCAAGCGTACATAGTGGCGTATCAGGTCCTAAAAAAAGGAAGCTTGGCAGCATATTACAGATGCAGTTAATGGAGTTTCATCTGTTAATCGAACACTCCCAGAAGTGAGAAGAAAATGGTTCGACATTAAGCTTGAGAGCAAAAAACGAATTAGTTCACTTCGGAAAAATAGTATTCAAACTGGAGAAGGACCACCATCGCAGATGCTATTACTGGCTCTCATAATAAGAAAAACCGTATGTAATTACTATATATAATATTTTTTCAAAATGCTGTGCAAATATGTACCCGATTAAGGTGAATTAAAATGCAGCCTTATTAATGAGCAAAACGTTCGGGTGTTAAGCGCACTATTTACGCGTGGCTGGGAGCAGGTGTAGATTTCTTGTGTACCAACTAACATTTGGAAAATACGAACATTTTAATGAATCCGAAAATTTACGCCAGAACCACTTTACACACGATTTACACAAAAAATCGTTCTGCTCGTGTTTCATGAATGAGACCCCATGTGTGCTTCTCTTAGGGAGGCATGATGTGCACATTTTTGATCAGTATCATGATTGTCTAAATACTAAATATGATACTGATGTTGATCTATCCTCACATAAAAATATTGATACTCATTTCATAAGAAACAGAAATTGAGAAAAAAGCCACTTAAATAAAGAAATCAGTAGCATTATTGTTGATTCTGGTCTTCATTCATACTACTTAAAAAAGATGCCATTAAACTAAGATTGAATGTGGAAAAAATGTATCAAATATTATAGTTAGGAGCGATTAATTGTGATTAATTACAGAGATATGTCAGATTAATTAGTTAATTTTTTGTAATCAATTGACAGCATATTGTTATACTATATTATACAGTATATACATATCAGGGTTTCCGTTGTCCGGTAATTACCGGATTTTCTCCGGTCAAATTGTCCGATTAAAATTGCGTAATAATCCCGCCCCCCTAACACAATATGAATTTATTTGAAAATAAGCCTAAAATGTATCAAGCAAAAATCCACCGACTTATGGCTATGTTATAAAGGAACAGCCTCTACCGTTTGAAAGTTATATTAAACAACATCGCATGCTGCATTTCAAATAAAGCGCACGCCTAAAACGGCTGTAATATAGACCTAAATAACGAACGATTGAGTGAGACGTTTCAGATATGGCCAGGCCCAGGCAGGCTAGCCTTAAAGGAAGCACTGATACTTGGGCGCAGATATATCACGCAACACCTGAAATAAAGCTTGCCACAAAACCGGCGAAAGTAATGATTAGGCCTATGCATGAAACATTTGAATTATTGATAAATTGATAAAGTTGACGATGCAGATTCGCCATCTTCGCAGTAGTGAACGCGCCTCTAGAGAGAAGTGTGTACGCCCCGGCGACTCCGTCCTGATTATATTGCCCACTATATTTGCTTCTTATTTACTGATCCAGGCAAATTTGTTGATGAAACATTGATTAAAATTAAGATACAATTTATACAAAACGAAATTTTCAAGCAAAAATAATATTCGAAGATCGCTGGGTTGATTATTATTCGAAAATCGCACCCATCTCCACCACATGCACGCACACATGGCTACACACCAGAGCATGTGAGCAAAGCGGAGCGGTGTGACGCTTATTATAAGTTAAAAAACTTAAACATACGTTTCATATTTATAAATAATATAATGTTATTATTTTTTTATTACATCTATGTTGATTATATGAAAAGAGAACCGCATGAGTTGAGTAAGATAGGATCATAAGATGACCATATCGGAAAACATTTGGAATGGGTCAGATTTTGACCACTTATTAAGTTTTGTTTTGTAGAAAGCCTTTCTTTAAAGTTTATTTCGTTTTGTATATATTGTGTGCTGCTCTATTCGCCTGTGCGCAACGGCGATAGATTGAAACGCACGTCCGAGTGAAGATTGCGCAACCCGCGCAACGCGTCGTCCATGCAACTGATAGCAGCGGACACGAGCGCCAAGCTTGATTTCAAAAACAACTGATTTTAGCGCTAGATCTCTTATTTAATAGCGAACTAAATGAATGATCTGCTAGTTAACTGGAGATGTTTTATTTATTTGTATTAGGTACATCCGTGCCTCAATGTTTCAAAAAGTGAATGTGTGTGAAACCATAGTAAAAAACAATTGGTGTTGATTGACGCCAATCGGACTTTCATGTTTTTTTCCGTCTATTTGAAAGTTAGGCTAATAATAACATGTTGCATTCTATACAGCCTGATTATGTCATTTTTTAAGTTACATAGCCTGCCTCCAGTTTTCCTTAACTTGACTAATTAAGAGGCGATATTTGACCGGCATATCATCAAAATGTCCGTTAAACGAAACCTCTGCCGGTCACTTTGACCGGCACCATTTTTTTCTAGCGGAATATGCAGAAGTATTTAAAAGTTGCATTTTCAGTTGAACTTGGGGAAACCACTTGAAAGATTTGTTGTGCTGAGCTATTTCAATTACTTTTGTTTGATTTTTTTCATTGCAAACAACTGAAAGTCTGTAAATTTTGCCAATAAATCTGATTTGCAATGGGGGTTGAATAATGTCATATTTCATATATATATATAGGTGTGGTGGGGCATTAAATAAGTAATATCAACAATGTGGTAAAATGTAACTGATTATAAGGCTTTTTAAAAAAAAAAATATTTATTATAATAATGTGCCAAACTACTTAAAGCAGATTTTTAATGAAGTCATTTAAGTACTAGTTTGTTTCATAATATTATTGACATTTTTTGAGAGACTTAAATGTAACAGCATTTTTGAGTCAATAAATCAATTTTGTTGGAGATTTTATAACACCTTGCTTAAACACATGGCACTGATTTGGTGGTGAAAATGCAACAGGCACCTCTGTCCCAAGACGATACTGAATCTCATACAGCAGGATCAGGCCGTTGGGTTTATGCGGTTCAGGCCACTTCAGGAACACCGAATCCTCCAGAGCTTCCCAGCTCACTGAGCCAGGAATGTCATCGGCTCTTTCTACAAGAAAACGAAGAAACCAAAAGGTTGCTCATTGATATTTTTGAATATACCAATTCAAAAATGAATTGGTAAATTCAATATTGGTGGCTTCACCACCAATTCCATGTACATGTCCTGATCTTACCTGCTGGTTTGGTGCGGGAAAAGACAAAGGCGGCCGCGCTGCAGTGTCGGACCTCTTCGTTGCAGGCGTGCACGTCGATGCGGTAAACGGTAAAGGGCTGCAGGCCACTGATGTCAGCAGTTCGCTCCTTCACCTTCCTCTCCAGAAAAGAAAATGCCCGTCTAGGCGGCTCATCATCTGAGAAGTTTCCTTCAGTCAGGTTCCAGTTTCCCGACAGCAGAGAGTGGATGGAAGTCGCATTGGCCACGCCAAACAGATCTCGCTTTCGCCTGTCGGGAGGTCTGGAACGAGAAAGATGAGATATATTGGAGGAAACAGTAAAACTAGCGCAACATCTGGTGGTGCAGAAACTGATATTTTACAACTTTTATAGAAATGTTCATTTATTTTAAAAATTATCTGCACAATTGAGCTCTGTTAACACCTCCGTTATTTCATATACAATAAAATGTGCCGTTTGAGCTGAAAAGTTGTCCAAATTCGTCTTTTAGGCAGAATAAATTCAAGTATTATGTCTGGTAAAAGAGGTCAAGTAAAATGTTTAAGTTTTGTGGTTATACTTTTGAAACCGTATTTGTTTTAATATTAATTACAGTGTAATTACTATGTAAGTGAATTTATATGTACAGTATCTTTATGTACTGTATAATGTGTTTATTTGTTTTGCAAACTGACAAACAAGTCAATATTTATGTATTTAATTAATATTATAATTAATCTACCTTACATTTTTATCTTGTATAAAAATGTACTTTTAACACAGATATACTATATAGAGTAGGGGAATGGAGTTAACTCACACACAATAAAAAGCACATAGTATAAAATACATTTCCATTTAAACAATCACCACTTAGAATTAATATTGGTTTTAATTATTTGTCACGATCTCTCCTTACATTATAAAACCCTTTTCTGGTCAACAAATGATGACTAACTAAATTAGAAAAAACTGTTATAGAACCTACAATAAAACAATGACTGAATTAGTTGATTAGTAGATTACTAGTAGATTAAGTTAAAAAAAATTGTGCTTGACACTTCAAGAGAAGCTTTTTCCTCAATACTGATTACTGAGGAGACCATTTTTAACCCCATTTGTGAACGTGTGGGGTAACAACCACATGAGCAAGTTACTCTCGTCCATGCCAAAGCAATCACGTTTTCTGTCCTCAGATGATCTGGCAACGACTCCATCCCCCCTGAATCCTTTCACACACACTCACACACACCACAGCTGGTCTCCATTCCTCGGCCTGCTAACACTCACACACTGGAGCAGTTTCTCACTCAACTCTCTACAAGTTGCAAGTCCTTCCTCTGCCTGCTAGAAACACACATCCTAGCACCACAGATGGGTTGAATTTGACAGAGCATGTGGCCAGAGAGACGTGATATGAAGCTATACATCTCTGTCTGTATCTGATGCACACGGGATATTCTGGCCCAAGCCCCGTCTTGTCTAATCGCTGGCCTATCCTATATTGCATAATGCAATCTGTCAGTGAGGTTTTTTTTTAGTGACAGTAAATACATTCATAATGTTAAAAAAATACTTATTTTTAACTGTTTTCAACATTGATAATAAGAAATCATTAAATTAGCGTATTAGAATGATTTCTGAAGGATCATGTGACACTGAAGTAATGATACTGAAAATTCAGCTTTGCCGTCACAAGAATAAATTATATTTTAAAATATATTCAAATAAAAAACTGTTACTTTAAATTGGAAAGTTTTCACAATATTACAGCTTCTTCTGTATTTTTGAACAAATAAATTCAGCCTTGGTTGGTGAGCAAAAGAGACTTCTTTAAAAAACATTTAGAAAATTAACAGTACTGTACATATTAGTATATAAGCTGCATACACTACATAGTATTTGTAACTGTATTTTTCCCTGAGGTTCACTTATAAGGTCCGTCAAGGTTTCTGCATCGAAAGAAGCAATAATTTAGTTTTTGCAAAGTCAACATTCTCTTTCAAAAGAGTAAAGCATGCATTATAGTTTACAGTACATGTTCATAGTCCGTCCATGCTGAAATGTGCCGCTCAAATGGTTATTAGTAGCAGGATGCGATCATGTGTATAAAAATAGTCAGTAAAAACACTGTTGTCTTCACATTTAAAATAAAGCAAATGTTCCATTGAAAAAAACAAACAAACAAAAAAACCTTGTCACATGACGTAACTCCCTCCATTAATTAACACATTTAATTGATATGTACCATTCAAATATTTTGGTCTCGCTACAACTATTTTTTTTTCTTTTCTAAATAAGTCTCTTATGCTCACCAAAGCTGTATTCATCTGATCAAATATACAGTAATATTGTGAAATTTTATTACAATTTAAAATAACTTTTTTCTTTCAGAATATATTTTAAAAATGTAATTTATTCCTGATGCAAATTTTCAGCATCATTACTCCAGTCTTCAGTGTCACATGATCCTTCAGAAATCATTCTGCGATGCTGATTTGCTCAAGAAAGTACAAAAGAAAAGCATTTATTAGTAAACAGTAAATATATTTATTTTTAAATACTGTCACTACTGATCAATATAATGCATCCTTGATGGATAAATTATGAATTTCTTTCCAAAAAAAAACCAACAACATGTAAACGGTAGTTACTTTAATGATGGAATGGATATTATGCAAAAACCACTTATTTTTTATTGTCTCAAGCAATAAATAAATAAATATAGCAATGCCAAATAATTTAAAAATCCACATGGTTTGAGGTATCAAATAAAACCCCTCAACCTTAATATGACCACACACCATTTTAGTAAGTACCACTAAAAATAATAAGAGTAGTATGTTAGTTAGTATGCCATTCTGAACATGCCCCATCTCTAAACCAGCGACTTTCCCTCGTAATCTCTGCCCCTTCTGTTCCCACATGCCCCTGAAACAGCTTTTTCATTCTCTCTCAATCTTCTTTCTGTAGCTCCCTCCGTGCAGAGCGGCATTCATTGATCTGTGTGCTCTCCGGCTGGAGGGGAACTTCCCTTTATTTCATTGGTATTCCAGATGGAATTACTGTGCATTTCCTGGCAGCAGAGCGGTTTGAGGGGGGGAATGGCAAACTGAATGGATATGATTTCCTCTCCTTCTCGTTCCCCCTTCCTCTGGCTCTCTCCAAATCCTGAACTTCGAGGGAACTCGAGGCACTTCCCTCAATATCTCGGTTTTCAATAAAAACAGGTTGTGCTGGCCCGGGTACAGACATACTTCTCAGCTGCCTGACATAGTTCTGGCACCGTTGCTTTCGTCGACAGCCAAGCAATGACAAACACGCAGAAAAAAAAAAAAAAACCCCGGATCAGACCGAGCAGGATAATCCAGCCCTGAATCACGCAGGCCAGGATGGAGAATCAATGCCATTTTGATGTCCTGCACCGCCTGAAACTTGAATTCAAAAATACATTGATTTCAATACAAGTCTGCTCAGGTATACAGCGATTTTGGCACGCTCGGCAGGACACATGCGCCGCCCAGCCCGATGATGGATGATAATAGGATACAGATGTCGGTCCTCGTTTTAGCACAGAACACTTAATGCGTTACACCTTTGAGATCAGAGAGAAAACGAGGCTTACATAGTCATTTACATTAGCTTTGCATGGTCTCCCGTGTTATTTGGATCCAGACTCAAGAGCCCGTACCACACAATTACCAACACCAGCGCCGGAGGGAAACAATTACTAAGGGAACGCTGAAAATGTTCCAAAACAACCTCTCAGACGAGAAACAAAGAGCCATTACAAATGCTAACATCCAGAGACATCAACAGTCCCTTTCAATCTTCATCTTTGAGATCACAAAAGGTCAACATGGATTTATTTACTATTAAAGGTTTTAATTTGAAGTTAAATGGATGTTTTGGACTGGCTGACGCATCAAAACTTGAACGAGGATGAAGTCACATGTTTTCCGAGGCTTCGACTCTGACATTAACTTTGAAGTTCTTGTCAATTTAAGCATTAGTTAATGCTTTTGTCATACCAAATAAGAAGCATGAAAAATACAAAAGGAGACTCTTTTTAATCCTTTTCTGTTAAAATACAATTTTTAGCTAAATAAAAGTACCATAAAAGTGGTATTTTATGATCAGTATTAATACTTTTATTCAGCAAGGACACATTAAATTGATAAAAAGTGACATTTACAATAGAGTTTGACCGGTACGGCGATTATGATCGTAAGTTGAAAATTCTGGCTGATAATCAGTTGAAAATTCTAATGAAAATTACTAAAAAAAAGTATTAAAAAATGAATTATAATGAAATAACTCAAATTATTGAAATAAATAACTATAGTACTATTTGAAGTACTATTTCTGGAGAAAGTAACAATCATGTGATCAAACTCCTGGGTTTACCTGGGGGTGAATATGGCGTTATGAAGGAAATTCTCGAAGGCTTTGCGGTAGTAGATATCGTCCTCGATTTGCTTCAGATCCTTCTCTGTTTTAGGGCACGGACAACAGGGGACTTTGTCCCTCCCCCCTGTTTCAGGATTGGTGGGTTTGGTGTCTTCGGTTTCTGTCAAACCCGTGGCTGAAATCCTGACGGGGATCTTCAGTTCTGTCAGGAAGAACATAAACATGGTTACATTTTTCCTGCAGTGATCTGGTATCATTTCAATATGCTCAAAATGTAAATTCTGAAAGCACCACAGAAAAGCAAGAAAGAAAACAAATTAAACTAAAGTATGAGTAATAGTAGGCTTAAAGAGCAGCACTAACAATATACAGACTGCGTTGAATGGTTTGAATATGCTGCACATTATTTTATTATGACAAAGCTTCATACATTTTGGAGAGTTTTCAAATAGAATTTGATCTAGTTACTTTAGATGCGCCGACACTGGATGCTTCAGATGTTCTCAATAATATGTTTATCTGTTTCATGGTTAAAAGTTTGAATTGCTGTTGGGGAAAATGGTGCTCAGTTGGAGTGTGTAATTCAGACCAGACCTTTGGAGCAGTAGTTGTGCTGGTAGAGCTCATGGTCCTCGCCCTGCTGCTTCCAGCGGAGCAGGTAGTAGGTGTTGTTTCCATTGGGGGTCACAGGTGGAGACCACCGCACCACCAGCTTTGATGAAGAGTTAGAGTACGCACGAATGTCTACAGGCATTGAGGGTGCTGGAAAATAAAACATTTATTTAGCAAACAAATGTTGACTTCAGAGTAAATCCCCTTGGTGCAACCCATGGAAAGTCAAGAATCATCCCTTCTGGGGGTTGAGCACACAACCATTGAGTTACTAGATTTTAAACCACTAAGCCGCCACACTCTGCATGGAATAAGTTGACACTGCTAAAAATCCTATTCCTAATCAGCATCTAAAGTATTGAAATGTTCTTTAAAAAAATTACTTAAAAAGCAAAACTGCATAGTATCATTCAAAAGTTTGGGCTCTGTACGATTTCATAAATATATTTTAAAATGTAATTTATTCCTGTGATGCAACGCTGAATTTTCAAGCATCATTACTCCAGTCTTCAGTGTCACATGATCCTTCAGACATCATTCTAATATGCTGATTTGCTGCTCTAGAAATGTTTATTATTATTATCAATCTTGAAAACAGTTATGTACAATTCTTTTTTCAGGATTCTTTGATTAGTGTTCAAAAGAACAGCATTTATTTGAAATAGATTTTTTGAACAATTTAAAAGTCTTAACTTTAATAATTTAATACAATGAATCAAATTAAAGTTTAACTGCTTAATAAAAGTTTTTTTTTTTTTTTATTGTAAGAAAAAAAATCTTACTGACCCCAAACATTTAAATAGTAGTGTATATATATAGAGATTGAGATATATGTAGTACTGTATAAGTCTTTTATAGTATTTGCAAGTCTATTAACATATCTTTCACTTGTTTTAAGTAAAAAAATAAAACAAAGTAACAAAAAATGCCAAAATTATTTCCAAATTTCCACAATATACTTACCCCTTTTTACACTCATAAAACCACATATCTATATTTGTATCTTCAACATTAATTTTAGCGAATCATACCAAAATAATCAAATTAAGCCAAAATGTCACATTCCAAATAATCATAATCAAATCGTCAGAGCAAACACCCTTACTTAAATAATCAAAATGAGAGATTTGTGGCTTCGCTTGTACTCTATGTCTGTTAGGTCTGAGCCTAAAAGCTAGTGTGCTCCTAAAGGCTGTGACACACCAAGCCGACTAGCAGCGACAAAAGCCGATTTGTGTTGTTGCCTTGCGTCGGCTGAATCTGGGCCAAAAAGCTGCACTTGAATGCACCAGAAAGACTACAGTGTAAGGAAACAACTGTCTATCCCAGCAGGTATCAATAGTCTATATTCGTCATTCAAAAAGGTGTGTGGCTTGATATGTCGCGGCCCTAAAAAAAACTTGCTGTTACAAAAAGAGAAATAACACTAGGAAGAATGTTAGTCGCGCAGCAACTTAATCAGGTAATAAATCTTTTTTAAAGGATGTTTTGATATTTCAACAAAAAATGGGATAAGGGTACTGATTTCTGTGGGGAAAAAATGACTCGACATGAATTAAATGTATGATTGACCTGAATCTAGATCATTACCTGATGGTTTAGTCCAAACATACACCACTTCAGTCTTCGCCCCAAGATGCTGTCTGTCCTTGTCCCTGTCCTCCACAACTAGCGTTACAGCTTTAACAAAGATGGCATACTGAGTCCAAGGCTTCAGCATGGACAGGGTAACACCAGGATTTTGGGTTTGGTCCTGCGGTAAGTCCACGTCAACCATGTTCCAGCTGTCTGATCCGCAACCGTCCTGACCATCAAACTCTGTAATGTTCTGGAAAGGCCTAAAAGAGAACATAACGGATATTTACAAAGCTGCTTAAACATTTTAATGGTATTGAGAAAGGCTGCTCAAAATATCTGAATAAAATGTCCACAAGACTTACGTTTCTTTGTAGTACACAATAAAACTGATGAGGTCTCTGGAATCTGGCGGTCGAAAAAGTTCCCATGTCAACTCGATTCTATTACTCCTCGTGCTATTCGATAAGAACTTAAGAATTTTACTCCCACCTGAGGAAAAAACAAACAGAATTCACTCATATAAAAATGGAAATTGAATATGCATATAGAGTTTAAATGCATTTTAAATTCTATCAATTGAGAACAATTCATATTTACAGCTTGCACGGTCTCCATTGTTGCGGAAATCTCCTTCCAAAAACTTCTCCTTAATTCCTGTTTTTGCCCACATTTTGCGGATCTCGGACATGCAGAGTTTGGGGTTCAGGCGGAAGTACAGTTTTCCAGCATTTATTGTGAGATTGTGCTGGGACCAGTCCCACAGAATTTGGAGATGCTGGTTATCCAAAGCAGCAAAGGCATACGCGCTGAAGACAACATCACAATAACAATGAATAAGTGACAATACAGGTAAATCAATAAAATATGCTTCATCTGGATACAGTACGCTACCTACACACTGTACTGTTTTGGGAGTGCAATAAATTTAAAGGGTTAGTTCACCCCTTCAAGTTGTTCCAAACCCGTATGAGTTTCTTTCTTCTGTTGAACACAAACGTAGATATTTTGAAGAATGTTGGTAACCAGACAGTTGACGGTAGCCATGGACTTCCATTGTATTTATTTATTTTTTAACCATCAACTGTTTGATTAGCAACATTCTTTAAAATATCTACTTTTGTGTTCAACAGAAGAAAGAAACTCATACAGGTTTGGAACAACTTGAGGGTAAGTGATGACAGAATTTTCATTTTTGGGTGAACTATCCCTTTAAATGCAGGACTAATGTTGTGTGTGCCCAAAACTCAATTGATATAGTGACAATCATAGCTACACTTTTTATCAACATGCAGCAATAACAAGGAAAATATCAACAGTTTAACTAATTCGATTTTAGCAAATTTTCAACTAAATACAGTATTAGTGACTGGAGGAGTATTATCATCTGACAACAGAGATGCTAAATTAAGATGGTTGTTTCAGGGTTTCCAGTGGTTACTAATACATTTTAAATGAAATTTCCACGATTTTATTGCTCAGCTTTAATAGGTTAGAAAGTGCTTTGTGTAAATTCAATCTCTATTAAACTATAAGCTTTTTAACTTTCAATGGGATATTTTTTATTTTGGGGTGAACTATCCCTTTAACAAAAAAATAAATTTAAAAAATCACTTTATATAGATGATACTTGCAACAAAGCAATTTCTAGTATATGAAATATTTTAGAGCTGAGCAACAGAAACAGATTACATTTTAAATAACTAGAAAATTTTACTATATAATTTTTTAAAGATTATTTTCATGACTTTTCCAGACCTAATAATCACAATTTCCAAATTCCCTGATATTTCCAGTTTTTCCATTATCGTTAGAAATAATAAACGAATAGAAGACAAAAAAACACACAATCATTTTATGGATTGTACTTACACAAAGCTATTTCTAGCTTATGAAATATTTTAGAGCGGAGCACTAGAAACAGATTGAAAAACAATTTTGTGTTTTACTAAAGAAGATTTTAGATTATTTCATGGCTTTTCCAGTACTAGAAATCACAATTTCCATTTTCCCTGATTTTTTCAGCTTTTTCATGATTGTGGAAACGCTGTCCTTTGAAACAGTGCGTTTTCTCTGGACTGAAACCGTTTACTCATTAACCACAAGGTTGGTGTATAAAACTACGGTGCCAAGAGACAAAATGTTGTCAAAACTTGTGAATTATTAGTCAATACACATACCTCCATCTTTTTATTAACAACTAGGCTGGTTATACACACACACAATGTATATTTAAAGAAAAATGCAAACATTGCGGAGTGAAATCAGATGAAAATCACTGTTATAAACACCCAAACTCTGTGTGTATGTTGCCATTACTTTATAGGACATATAAGCTGATGATTCACCAGAATTGACGCAAATGATCATAAAAGATAAACAGCTTCAGTAAAAGCTGCGTTTGGAATGTAAGCACTTCATGTGCATTAAAAGCAAGCGTTTCCCTTGACCCTACAGCGCACTTGAAAGCTTTAGTCTGACGCATGTTTTGCCACTTTTGCAAGTGGCACACTGACATGCTTATATTTATTAGTCAAGTCAATATAATACAAATGCTCTATTTGCTGCATTTATCAAACAGATATAGTACTGTTCTGACGTTTGCTTGATGATGCATGTTTAAGGGAATGTTAAAGGAACAGACTTGTAAATGTTAAATGTGGATGGAGGGCTTGTTTGTTTGTTTTTGTCTCTAAAAGCGTTCCCAGAGCTCAATTTAGTCTTTCGTAACAATTTTGCACAGAGAGGGATGCGTTGATCTGTTTTGAAAATGGGATAACAGTAAACAAACAGGGATTGAATTAAATTACACATTTCTTCTATGACGCACGGGACCCATTCAGTCTAATTCCGTATGGAACCCTTATAAACCAACAACGCCTAGCCTAACTCCTGCTTTTGAATGTCAAATGTTTGATAACTTGTTATTTTTTTAAATGACGATGTAGTGTTGCACTGAGTAGCCCCACCCAACATAAAATCTCATTGGTCCACTATCCTACCATCATTACTATTCATTAAATACTATATATCTTCTGCTGTGATTTCCCCCATTTTGAGCATTGATTTGCATTAAAGAGGTACTTTACCGCTGGAATAACGGGCTTTCAATAAAACTTGGCTGCCTATACAGTAAAAAGGTGAAAAGAAAAATGAAATCAATGCTACCAGACTAGAGAAAACTGTTGCTGTCCAAGGCCACTCCCACCAGTGTTCTATGGATACACTTGACCAGAGTCAAATACTGCCTAGCTTTAATAGGAAATACTTCTTAGCAAACTCTTAGTCATAATGGTGTTTACTTGTATTGTTCCCAGGTGCAAGAATTTAAAGAGTAAATGATTAGTGGGAGTGAGTTACTTTCGGTTTCCAGTGGAGGATCCAGTTCGTTGTAGGCAGAGGCTAAAGGCGTAAATATGGAGAGAAACTAGAAACTTCTGTTTGTAGTCAACATTTCAAGTGTTTTAGGCGGAGGGAAAAAACAATTGTGGTTGTTGTTTTACACAATTGAGGAATTTTAACCAAAGTATGTTACAAATGTTACATGAAGACCCTAAAGAATCATACCAACTTGGAAAATGGGCATCAGGTGACCCCTTTAAAGAGTAAGCATAGTATGATAGAAGGCGGCAAGTGGCTCAGTGGTTCATGTAGGTTGTCTACAAACCGGAAGGTTGGTGGTTCAATCCTCGGTCCCACCTAACCAAGTGTCGAGGTGAGCAAGACACCTAACCCCAGCTGCTCCCGACGAGCTGGATGGCGCCTTGCATGGCAGACACCGCCGTCGGTGTGTGAATGGGTGAATGTGAGGCAATATGTAAAGCGCTTTGGTGGCCATTGGGTCTGTGAAAGTGCTATATAAATGCAGTCCATTTACCATGATACAATTTTCAGTGATGAACCTACCCGTACAATAACTGTTCTGTTAATAACCCTCTGTCGACCCGACTGTCCATGGGCGGGGATACAAAATGATGCGGACTTTTGCTGACAAATAAACGTGAATTTCTCAGTCCAGGTAACACGGAGAATGAGTAAACATTGTTCATTTACATATACTACCGACATACTACGCGGTTTTAAAAACGGCGAAGTTCCACTGTAAGTGGGGACAGACAAAGCCTGTTAGGACATGGTGCAAAGTGTTAAATTAACATCTTACTCATCCCAGAGTTCCTCTCCATGGATGTATCTCAGGCTCTTGAGGAAGGAGAGCGAGCTCAGGGTGTGTGATGAACGTATCCTGATGTATCCCGTCACCGTCTTGATGAGTCCCAGGAAGTTCTCCAACTCCGAGGCGATGTTGGCTAGAGAGATGGAAAAGAGTGTCGGTGAGCAGTGCGGTGGAAAGTCAGAAACAGAAGCTGCCGAGCCGCAGATACTCACTGCCACGGCGGATCTTGATATGCAGGTTTCCTTTGATAACGGTGCAGCCCTTGAGGGACTGAGCCGCGTCCACTGAGTCAATGACCTTTTCATCACAGATCTTGTCACATAGGCCGTTACAGGCAGTGCAGGTCATGCTGCCAGACACACTGGAACAAAAGGACGATCAAAATGTGTCACCAATACTGATAACCAAATATCTGACTTTCACATTATCACGTGACATTCAATTCACTGAAGGCTAAAGTTTGAATGCAACTGAAATTTTTTCGATCTTTCCAACAAAAGAACATGATTGGTTTGTTCTGAGTTAATCAGTTATTAATGAGTTTAACCAATGTCCCTTTAAGACAAGTCATTTCACTCGGCGGCCATATTTGAAACGCATCTAAGGCATGCAAGTGCAGCTCCTATTCATATTTGAAATCACCAATGAAATCTGACAACAACTGTCTCATAATGCGCAGTCCTAAGCGTGAGTCGCAGAAGACTGACTATGTCTATAGGAACAGGAGCTTCTAATGGCAGCTGCAGTGACGCAATGACTTTACCAATCGGCTAACGGCTATTTTCTTTAGAAGACGGGACTTATTCCGCCATATTGCGTGTTGCACTTTCTCCCATTCATAGTAATACGAGTGCACCGTCTTTCTCCATATATCTGTATAGTCGTTTGGGTTAGTCTGATTGCTTTGTAGGTGTACAGGATCTGATATGCTTTGATTTACTCATTTTCACAAAAAATATAACCATTTATCAAATGCACACTTTTGTCAGGTTTTTCAGGCACTGATTGAGAGGAAAAATTTGCTGAATTCTTTATTGGATTTTAACACTACAGTCTTACTGGTAGATTAAAGTATTATCAAATTTGTAAGGGCCATTATAGATTTTTACTGTCACTTTTGATCAATTGAATGCATCCTTGTTGAATAAAAGTATTAATTTCTTTCCAAACAAAAAGAAAACCTAATAATATATATTTTTTTTACAGACCCCACACGCACTATACACTTACAGGATTATATAATACAAATAAAATAATAATAAAAAAAGATCAAATAATGATACGTTATGAATGATGATATGGAAAGTAAAACAAACGAAGACATTAAAATGTAACAGAACACATTTGATTTTTTATTTTTTTTTTAAATATAATCTAAAAACAGAAACAAATTCACAAAATCACAGATATGCTTAGTCTGATTTACTAATTTTCACTATAAATATGACCATTTATCACATGCACACTTTCAAAATAAAAAGTTGAATGCACAGAAAGTCATCGTACCTTCGGTTCTCATCACGCGTGAAGCCGGGTGGGCAGTCAGACATACACTCTCCTCCGTGGATCACGAAACGGTCATAATCAGGCAGGTGGACCTTGGAGCAGAAGTCCATGGTGATGCAACGCCAGCCCTCAAACTTGTACGTGTTCTGCGGACAATCCTCCACGCAGCTGCCCTCGTAGTAGTAGTGCTGGCAGGCGGCACAGGCCCTGTCGTTGTCGGGCACGGTGCAGCTGCCCAGACACTGGGGGTGGCAGCACTCGCCCAAATCAGTACACGCCCGCTGTCCACACATCTTCGGGCAAACTGGAGGGGAACGCAAGGTGGAAAATGTTGATATGAATATTTTCTGGGTTTGTGTCAAGAAAACTACATTCAATTAAAAACACCCTCATACCATTAAGTTTGATTTTACAACATTAGAGATAAACCTTTCCATAGTCTATTATAATATCAGAAGGTGTTTATAATTTACTTTTGTTAGATATTATTGTCACTCTCACAAAGAAATGTCACATTCGACCACAAAAAAAACAAGTGTTCTCATTATCATACAGAAATCATCATGTTTGAGTAATGACGTAAGAACGGTGATTAAATTGTATAATATTAATCAGATAGTGGTACAATAAATACTACCATAATGTAAAAATAAACAATACACAAAACACCTTGAAATAATATACATTTGCATTACAGTACCTAGAATTTGGTTGGAAAATATAAAAATAGTCTAAAATAATTTTTATAAATGGTTTTTCTTTGCAGTGAGATACACATAAGACTAATAAAAATGAGAAAAGAGATACACAGAGTGTAATGGGTAAAATTAGACCCATCTGCTTTGCATACTGCTTTCAGATCCTCACCTTATTTGAACTAGTTTACAACATTCAGGAAGTCAAGTCATGCAAGCTCAAATAAAGTTAATTTCATAACCAGGCTGTGAGGCTAAAAGCCTGGCTTAAGCCCAAGCGGTTTGCAGCTCTGGGTCAGGGACATGTGATCGCACGTCCTCTCTCCATTACTGTCTGTTTCCTCTTGACCTCCGTACTGTCTTTCAAGCTTGACTGATAAGGGTTACTGCAAACAGCCTCAAGGATACAATGCTGTACAGTTCACAAACAAGTACAGGCACATACTTCATCACAGTCAAAGTATTCCTTTTGCCAGAATACTACTTAAACTATCAAAACAAATGACCAAATCACCATTAAACGCATTGGCATGTTGAGACAGACTACACTATTATCCAGTGTTAACTTGAGGCAAAACTACCCAAAAAAAAAAGTCACATTAACAATAGTACAATAAAAAAAAAAGTTAAGGAAACGTTACGCAAAAAAAGTAAATAAACAACATACATTTTATATGCAACATTGTTTATCTTGTGAAATCATTTAATAATGCTAATTGATTCAACTGAAGTTTTGGAAAGCACACTGGTTGTCAACTATGGATTCTCATTTAAATGTCTTATTTTTCATCATTTTTTGTTTTGTTTGAAAATCTAACCGAGGCTGCAAATGATCTAGAAGCCAATATACAGAGCATCTGGTAACTAGTCTAATAACTAACTAAATATTAAGACAAAAATAATCTAAAATTTACATTAAAAGATGATTCCATGGGGAATGAATAAATAAATATTAGGGGAAAAAATGATAATAAACGCCTCTGAAAAATAATTTCAGGGGGCAAATATAGAAATATTGGGGATTTTAAACTAAAATAAATAAATGGTAAGAAAAAAGAATTCATCACATTTGTTAATAAATGTTCATGAAAAAAATACAGAGGGAAAATATTACCCTTCCAAATAAACTAGACTAAATTGGTAACACTTTAAGGTTTCATTAGTTAGCATAAACTAAGAATGAACAATACTTCTACAGCATTTATTAATCTTAAATGTTAATTTCAACATTTACTAATACACAATATTGAAAGTCAAATGTTGTATTTCTTCACATTAGTTAATTCACTGTGAACTAACATGAACAAACAATGAACAGCTGGATTTTTATTAACTAACATAAACGAAGATGAATAAATACAGTAACAAATGTATTGCTCATTGTTCGTTCATGTTAGTTAATACATTAACTAATGTTGATACATTATTTTAAAGCGTTACCACTAAATCCAACATAAAAGTTAATAAATCCCCCCAGAAAAATAATTTCAGGATGGAAATATTGCCACTTAATGGGGAAAAAAAAGTGATCTTGCAAGACACACAGTCACAGTGTGTTTTCCTGTAGTCATCTCTCTTTTCCCCTATTCTCATATATACATATACAGGCGATGCATTCACTGTTAACTCCAGGCCCGCTTTACAAACGAATCCAGTCCGTATATTCCATCCCACCGAGACTATGTATAATTCGACCAGAGTCCTCTGCTATCATTCTAAATAAGAGCGCATTGTAACAGGGGAGAGGAAAAACTGATTCAGGTCAGGGCACCAGCAAGGAAAACACCAGCTTTAGTACAAGAATGGCCTACATTTAGAACAGAGAAACTCAGCTGCCCGATCTTTCCTTACACGCTCACTCTATCTACAGCCTGGAACGCAGGAAACTCGCTTTACAAATGACTATGGGTACACATCTCACAAAAGCCACAGAAAGGCTATTTGGTTTCATTTTTAAATGTTGGCCTTTCCACAGGGGCAAAGGTCTGATGGTTTTTTAGGGAGGGTCCGTGTGAGCGTGTGAATTCAGATAACCTTACAGGGAGAGAAAAACAGGGAAACAAAAACATTCAAGCTGTAATTTACATGCAACAGTTGTCCTGGAGGAGGCTAGTAAACAAGAGTTAAATCATAACGCTTTGGTGGAAATGTATAAAGAACACTAGCCTGAGGTTTAATGTGTATCTGAGAGAGTTATTGTTCATCACGAGCAGTGTTCAAAGAGCAAATTCTTGACAAACGAGGCAGCCGTTCAGTTTAGGACACCTATAGTTAAAACATACAAATCATGCAAAAATCTGTTTTGCATACAGTTCCTGCAAAGCACCATTTTAGCCATCATCAGCTCAGACCGAAGACAACCCAGCTAATTTAGTCTGACTAAGATATCCCGTCTTCAGCTGATGACACTTACGGTGGAGCATTCACAAGGCCACCATGCTGGAATCTCTGTTAGTCTAAACACGGAAAAAAACAAACCAGAACCAGACACCCTTGACTAAGAGCCTTTGTCAGGGAAGATAGAGACGACGTTTCTACATCCTTTACCAACAAGTTTAGGCACAGAAATCATCTTTAAATAGAATAGCTAACACTGTTTGATGCACATTATTACCGAAGATGCCGTATTCTCAAGGGCACAATGTGATCATTCATGGATTGGCTCTTTTTTTGATAGGCTCAAACCTACAGCGTTTCAGTTGCTAAATTAGTTCTTTACCAGTAAACCACAACATTGTACATAAATATGAAATGAAAATGTGAAATGACATTAATTCCTATTGTACTAGAAAGAAAGCAGAATATAAAGGGCTTGTCTTTTTTTTTTACTTAAAAGTTGGTAAGATGCTATGCTAATGTGACCAATTGTTTGATCAAAAATACAGTAAAAACTGGAAAATTATTACATTTAAATAAAAGCCATTACTCAGTCTTCAGTTCCAATTTCTTTAAAATGGTATATAAATGTATACAAATGTATTTAAAGCTACTTTTGATGCATCCATGCTGAATAAAAGTATTTATTTAAGTGTCACGGGCCCACCGGTGGGCCCAAATCCTTTACATTTTTAAAACAGTAATATCCTATACTAAACCTAAACTAATCTTGACAAACTATATATCATTTGAAAGCTTACAATCGAGCTTACTAGTTTCCATATTTGGTGATTGATTTTCAAAATAAAATACAGAGGAGCCGTAATTTATCAATTTGCAACAATAATATTTTCATACTCTTAGACCTTTATTTTGAAATAGTGATGAACATGAAAAATCATGAAAGAAGGGTAGAAACCTCAGTTTGTTTTCATGCCAAGAGTTCAAAAGATAGCATCCATTCAATTATTTAAAAAAAAAAGGTCTGAATTTTTTTTTTTATACAAAGAAAAAAATTATATGATGTGGCAGGAAGCTAAAACGCACATGCGTGTTCTTTTTATGTTTCTTAGAGGTTGAAATCATATCAAAATCTGCCAAACTTCTCATATTACTTCTGAATAGGATGTCTACTTCATAAATTGTATGAAAATTGTGGAAATAATGGTTCATATCACTCAAAACACATATGGAAATGGTGGCGCCCTTATATGGGCAGTAATGGAGTCTGGTTGTCATCTAGTGAAAAAGTTTGGTACTGCGCCCAAACAAAATCTTACTGAAAGCTCATTTTTTGAGATATCAACCTAAAATTTGAAACACAACTTGTTCAGATTTTTGGCTTTGATTTTTTTGCAGTTTTAGAGTCGCCCAGGTTTTGAAAATATATATTTTATATAAAATATGAATAATTAATTTTTTTACATTGTACATTTTCATAAACTCAAACTTCTATAACTTTTTTTCTGTTTCACTTAATTTATTTCACTTCTACAAAAATCTGCCAAATGTCTTCTTTAAAACAAGACCAATCTTACGTCTATATTCCAAAGCATTCTTGAATTACAACCATTTAAGTTCGAAATGTGCATTTTCATGTATATTCAAAAAAAGGGGGGTGACACTTAAAGGGTTAAAGGGACAATGTGTACTTTTTTAGGCATTTTATTATCTAAAATCAATATTTTTATTCATAAATATGTCCTTAATGGTGTACAAATACCTCTGCCAATTATCTGACTTATCCTCGTAAAATGAAGAATTTACTATCTTTAAATACATGAGACGGGTAGGTCAACGGAGGCTTCCATGTGCTCGACGAAGTGCTATTAGAAGACATCCTGTCATAGCTTTTTGGTACATAACGGCTACCGTAAATACAACACGCATTTAAAAAAGCGAGGCGCTGGAGAGCACAATTCGTTTGAATGCAATATACAATTTCACCACTGGGAGAAATTCCTGCACATTATCCCTTTAAAAAAAACTAAAAAATACATTTTGAATTGTAATCTATAGTCAATAGCCCTTTTTAATGTTTCAAAACATCATTACTGTAGCATAGAAGAAAGCAATGAAGACTACATTCTGACTCTTGGACCGTGTGGATTCTGAATGCCCCTCGTGTGCTACAGGTGAATGATAATGAACACCTGGCTAAGGAAATCTTGGATGTTCTCTCTCCATCCGGGAGCTGATCAACTATCAGATTACTTTCTGTTTTCATACACAA